ACTCTCCGCGGAATATTTTCGTCGTTACCTGAGAACACGACTCAGGAGAGTCAGTTCAGAACAGTGCAGTCAAATGCAAAAAGATTCCACCAATGGCTGGTTGGGTTTATTGAGGAGGTCCGTTCCGATCATTTTTTTTATGAAGTGCCAAAAATATCATTTGATCGGCTTGTTTCACAAGCTGAGAGATTCTCAACTTGTGAGGACTCTTCGGTCGGACAGGTTGGGAAGGACTTGGTCTTTGCAATTCTCAAAGACCTCGACTCTAAAGGGGCTGCGCTGTTGAGCAAGCCTCTAGCAGATCTTATTCTGTCGCTCCTATGTCCCCAATTCGAGCAGGCATCCGACACTGGGAATTGGGTGTCGAATGAAGGCGTGGATCCCGCTTCTCATGTTGTCTCTTTATGGCACACACTTCAAAACTCCAATGGAGGCCCTCAGTATCGACTTTGGGCCGCTCGGGTCATTGGAAGATCCTTTGCTGCCACTGGGAAAATCGATCAATTGCTCCTGCGAGAACAGGATCTCTCACTGTTTGAATGGAACGAGTCTTATCCATTGCCTAAGGATATTTTCTGTCATTCTAAGGCCCGAATTCTTATGGTGCTTTGCGAAATGCTGGACGTGCAAAAGCATTTTGAAGCTGGCCTGATTGAGCGTACTTTGCGGCTGATCGTAAGCAAGGTCGATGATTATCCAGATTACGAAGGTTGTAGCAAGGTGATTCCCATACCTCTGCTTGATGCCCTCGTCTGGGACCCATACACATGTCCCCCCGTTTTGCTTTCAAACTCGGGGCAGGAGAGATGCGAAAATGCAGCAACCAGCGCTTCCGGGCTGTCGGTTGCTGACTGGGCTCGCAATGTTTCCCTGTTCTTATCTAATGCAGCTCTAGAAGACCCAGTCATTGGCTCTCTTCGCGAAATTCTCAACGTGACTCCTGGCTTAGCAGCGCAGTTGTTGCCATACGTGGTTCATGATGTTTTGCAGTCAGAGAAGGATGATAAAGGCAAAAATGGGAAGGTCCGAGAAGACATATCTGCTACTTTTCGGCGGGTGCTCTGTGAGATTGGCGAGGAAACATTACCTCACGCTCAGCTTGTGATCGACTGCATTCTCTACCTTCGAAACCAACCCGTGCCAGATGAATCAACTATAGTCCAGCGGGACAAATGGCTTGATATTGACTTCAGAGAGGCATCTTTAGCTGCACATCGCTGCGGTTTGCATAAGACTTCGCTTCTTTTCCTGGAAATACAAACATCCCAGGTTGTTTCCACATCTCGTCGCTCATCTGTCGTTAGATACGAGCCACCGCCTGCTTTTCTGCATGATGTTTTCAAAAACATCGATGATCCGGACTTGTTCTATGGTATTCAGCAGAGCTCATCTTTGAGCAGTGTCATGGAACGGCTAGAGTACGAAAGCTCCGGGTTCAAAAATCTCTTATTCCAGAGTGCAAAATATGACATTGAAATTCAGATGTCTGACAATGCAGAATCATATGGCGTGTTGAAGGCTTTAAATGCTACCAACCTCCAAGGCATTGCCAATACGATGCTCTCTGCGTCCGGCAGTGCAAACGACGCCCCTGTTGCCTTTGACAGCATGTTGCAAGCTGCAACTAATCTTCAAAAATGGGATATTCCAGTTTCGCCTTCGGATTCTTCCCCATCTGCGACTGTATTCCGTACATTCCAAAGTCTCAATACCTCGGGTTCTCTGCTCGAGGTCAATGGCTCAATTGAAAGTGGTCTGTTGACAACACTGGGTTCTCTTCTCAAGACCAGTGGGTCTGCTATTCAGTTGCGAAGCTCAATGCGCGCGTTGGGAATTATAACTGAAATCAGCGACACTTTGCACTCCGCGTTTTCCGAGAATGTGGAGAAAGGGTGGCAAAATATCATGGCGAGAAGCAACTGGTTGAAAACCGAGAGGTGCGTGTTTCCCTTGGCAAAAACCATTTACAAGATATGTACTGACTAGAGCAGCTATCATGAAGTTGGAGAAATCTTGTCTTGGCATGAGGCGTTGTTCTCCTCAGTCAGGAAAAATGACATCCTCAAATCACGGGCAAAACTGAGTCTCGGAAATTCGCGACTTCTAGAAGCGAAAGTCATTCGACAATCCTTGGAAATCACAAGAACCCATGGTATCTCCCAGGCATCGCTCAAATCTGCAATGAGCCTTTCGAAGCTTGCCGAACCGTGCGCAGCGTTAGGAATGAACATTGACGGAGCTGCAAAATTCGATCTTGCCAACGTTCTGTGGGATCAAGGAGAGATGACCGCGTCCATTCGCATGCTCCAGCAACTAAAGGGCCAGAATGACCTTCATAAACAGTCAATCCCCCTCAGTCGGGCTGAACTTCTCGTGACTTTGGTAAGTTAGATGTCCTTAGAAGAATCCTTGAAAGACTCCTAAAGGGAATCTCTCCAAAAGTCCTTTCTATCCGAAGTGCTAATTTCATGTTTAGGGTCACCACGTTGCCGAGGCACGCTTGGAAAAGCCCGACTCAATTCTACAAGAGTACCTATATCCCGCGGTCAAGGAATTGAAAGGAAACTCCGACGGAGAAGAAGCTGGACGTGTCTATCACGGCTTTGCAACATTTTGTGATCAGCAGCTACTAAACCCTGATGGATTCGAAGATTTCAAGAGAGTGGAACAACTGCGTGACCGCAAGGAGAAAGAAGTCCTTGGCCTGGAAGACATGATGAAGAATGCCACAGGCAAGGAGAGAGAATACTTGAAGAATTATCGGGCCAAGGCAAAGCAATGGTTCGACCTTGACGACCGCGAATATCAACGTTTGTTGCGAAGTCGGGAGGCTTTCCTACAGCAGTGCCTCGAAAATTACCTTCTCAGTTTGAGGGAAAGCGATACTTACAACAATGATGCTCTACGTTTCTGTGCACTCTGGCTTGATAAATCAGATAATGAGACTGCAAATTCAGCTGTCTCTCGGTATCTGGACGGAGTTCCTAGCCGAAAATTTGCACCATTGATGAACCAGCTATCATCTCGCCTACTCGATGTCTCCGATGATTTCCAGACATTACTCACTCAATTGGTATACAGGATATGTGTTGAGCATCCTTTCCATGGCATGTACCAAATTTTCGCTAGCAGCAAGTCCAAGGGAGGGAAAGATCAGTCGTCTCACTCGCGTTTCCGTGCCGCAAATCAGCTTGTGGATCGTCTAAAGAACGATAGTCACATTGGTCAGACTTGGATTGCTGTGCATAATGTGAACATCAGCTATGTGCGATTTGCAATCGATAAACTAGACGGCAAATACAAAAGTGGTGCTAAGGTCCCACTGGGAAGCTTGACTACTGGCCAACGCCTTGGACAAGATGCGGTCACTTACAAACTGCCACCACCGACAATGAAAATCAGCCTCCGTGCAGATTGCGATTATAGTCACGTTCCTACAATCACAAGGTTCTACTCAGAGTTCACGATTGCTTCCGGCGTTAGCGCGCCAAAAATTCTGTCCGCCTCTGCATCCGACGGCAAGTGCTACAAGCAATTAGTAAGCTTTCTATTTTTTTTTAAGTCCGTCGACGTTCTTTAACTAACAAAGCAATAGTTCAAGGGAGGAAATGATGACCTGCGGCAAGATGCCATCATGGAGCAAGTATTTGAGCAAGTCAGCAGTCTTTTGAAAGACCATCAACCTACACGCCAGCGGAGCCTAGGCATCCGAACATACAAGGTTCTTCCATTGACACCAAGCGCAGGAATCATTGAGTTCGTTCCGAACACGATTCCTCTGCACGACTACCTAATGCCAGCACATCAGAAATACTTCCCGAAGGACATGAAACCCAACTCTTGCCGGAAACACATTGCCGATGTACAGACTAAATCTTTTGAGCAACGCATCAGAACCTACCGACAGGTGACTGAGCACTTCCACCCAGTCTTGAAGTATTTCTTCATGGAGAAGTTCAACAACCCAGACGACTGGTTTAGCAAGCGGTTAGCCTACACACGAAGCACCGCTGCAATCTCTATCCTCGGTCATGTTCTCGGACTCGGCGATCGTCACGGACATAATATTCTGCTAGATGAGAAGACCGGGGAAGTGGTGCACATTGATCTCGGTGTAGCGTTCGAACAAGGACGTGTGCTTCCTGTTCCTGAAGTTGTACCGTTCCGGTTGACGCGCGACGTAGTCGATGGATTCGGTATCACCAAGACTGAGGGCGTTTTCCGGCGTTGTTGTGAATTTACCCTTGAAGCACTTCGGCAAGAATCGTACAGCATAATGACGATCCTCGATGTATTACGGTATGACCCGTTGTATAGCTGGACTGTCTCCCCGTTTCGGGTGAAGAAAATGCAGATGCAGGACAACCAAGCCAGTGATGGGCCTGCAGCTCTGCCTGGGGCAGCTGATGGTCTCGTCTCAAAGAGTGGGAACGAGAATGAACCTAGTGAAGCTGACCGTGCGTTGACAGTGGTGGCGAAAAAACTGAGCAAAACCCTCAGTGTCACGGCTACTGTCAATGAATTGGTTCAGCAGGCAAGTGATGAGAAGAACCTTGCTGTGTTGTATTGCGGTATGTATACTCTTTCCTTTGCGCCAATTTCACCATCACGCTTTACTAATTTTAAATAGGCTGGGCATCCTATGCGTGAACTTGGCATTTTGTGGTTTTTTTGCGATAAGATTGATTCGTTCTCATGTGCATATAAGAGAATCAGTGTTAACAACTTAGATCAATGGACATAATATCCCCAAGTATAAGATATAGGTGACTCTATCTGCCGGGTGGGAAAGGAGTTTTGAACCCTGAGCGCTATGGGTCTTCGTAGGGTGGGGCTTTCCTATTTTAGCTGCCGCCGCTTTTATGGGGGAATAGCAGATTATACAGAAGTATGTCGTCGTTTCCTGATTGGGTCTAGAGTACTTAGGGCTACACCCTACTTGTAACAGGCAACGAGATATCACTCTTGGGCTCTTTGAAATAGCAGTCGGAAATCATCAAATGGCGGCCTCTATTCTCACCACCCCTACAGAGCTGTTGCGCCTCGTATTTGCAACTTTATCGCGCAGCGATCTCTACGCACTATGTCTTACGCATAGGGACTTGCGCGCGGTTGCTGAGTCATTTCTCTACGCTCGCGTCGAATTGACATGGACAAAATCTCAAACCCCTCCGATCGCTCAGTTTTTGCATAATATCGTGCGAAGGCCCGAGCTCGCAAGTTCTGTTCATGTTCTGGTCCTGAGTGGGCATAGCTTCGATGACTACTTCTATGAATACAAGATAAGTAGTCCGAAACTTCCGCTTGGTGAAGTTCCTTTGGATGGGCTCGTGAACTGTATTGAAAATCTCTCCGTTTCATTTGCCAGTGAATGGATCCAAGAGTTACGCGCCGGAACAGTGGACGCGTTCATGTCACTTTTATTATCACAGCTCCGAAGTCTGAAATCTCTCCAGCTCAGCCAAAACTTTACCCGAGAGAGTCGCCTTATGGGTATGATGCTCCGCTCGGCCCTCTGTGAAAAAAATAGCCATCTCAGTTCCTTTGCATATCTCCAAGATGTCGAGGCTGTATTTCCCGGCATTGGCCTCTTTATACGCAAGTATACAGACGCTAGGAATACTGCAGATGTCCTCCCCCTCTTCTACCTACCGTCTGTTGAAAGGATAAGGGTCTTGATTGATAACCCGCCAACTTTCAAATGGCCCGGGAAAACCCTACCAAATCCATCCAAACTCATATCGCTCGATTTGACAATGCTACGTGAAGGGCCTCTCGCCCAAGTACTATCAACTACCCCAAACCTTCGAAAATTGAAATGGGATTGGTACTTTCGGCGAGATCTTCAAGATGAATATGTCACCGACATCATTGATTTGGATCAATTAGCCGCGGGTCTATCCCACGTTCAAAATTCTTTAACAGATTTGACTATTACGGCAGGGACATCCAACTCAGATGCATCTCTCAACTTCCCGGAGGTCCGATTTAAAGGGTCGTTCAAAACTTTTAGCGAACTCCATATGCTGCAAAGTCTAGAAGTTCCAATTGCCTTTCTGCTTGGATTTTCTCAGTCTACGCCTAATGTGGCTCGCCTAGAGGAATGCCTTCCAAGAAACCTTCAATGGCTGACTGTCACGGACAGACTATGTCTCCAAGAAGAATGGGAATGGGAATGGGAATGTACATACTTGTTAGAAGCTATTCGACCATGGCTACAAGAATGGGAGACGTTCACTCCTCGTCTCCAAGGGTTTCGTCTGTTAGCGAAAGAATTGGGGATATGGGACCTTGCGTTGTTACAGGGTCTCGAAGACATAGGTCACCAGTCGGGAATTCAGGTTCAAATAATTGAAGCAGAACCAGTCAGGCACTCAGGTCTGTGTTGAAATCCAGGCTTGGCTTTCCAAACGTCTTGGCGATTGACGCCATCAGGCAGTTGAGCGTTTGACCCCGGTCCTTTCCCTTGTCCTGGATAGAATCTCTGCTCACTTTGTTGTTGTGCGTTCCCAATATTATTGGGATCCCCAACACAGAAGCGAGATTCCCCTTTTGTATTTAAAAGCCTGCAACTTATTAGATTGTGGACTTTGAGACTTCTTGACCTTCCAAATTGCACATCACATCATAGTTACTTTTCGATTATTGGGTAACACGAAGGTGGTATATAAGGCGGTCAGTGGAATCCTGAAAAGATCAGGCAGGCCCCCCATATATAACTAATACAAGTCCTTCTGTCAACAATATCCCTTCGAGCCTACCCCCATTCACTATAATCTTTTCTACGGAAAGAATACTCTAGGATCCACTCTCTGGCTACTTGACATTATTATCATTACTTCGTCACTTTATCACTATTTGAATTTTCATCCACGAAAATAGAACCTACACTTCATCTTGTTCTCATCCAATTCACCTTGTCCTCGCTTACACCATCTGCACGGGAATCTACTGCATCTCAGTACATCAGACTACAACCACCAAGCTTTCATGGATTGATACTTCCAAGATGGACAAGAAAATGCCAATAAACCTGCCAGATCTTCCTCTTGAACTATTGCTCATAATATCCGAGCACCTGTCGTCTGTCGACATTGCCTGTCTCGCCTTATGCAGCGACCAATTGTTCTTTTCCTTGGGATCTGCATGTCACAGCCTACCAAAGGGCCGCACTGGGTGCCCTGAGGATGGGCCGCGTATCGATTTTCTGACACGCTTTGCTCGTGACTTGCCACAGTATTACCTCTGTCACGCTTGCCTACGACTCCATCTTTGGCAAAAGGTGGCTCTACCAGGTCCCAAATTCAAAGTCCCAGCCTGCGTAGAGTCCCTAGATCGAAAGGTATATCGCCTCAAATTGCCTCTTTACGTTATGCATTACCCAAGTCACGCGTACTACAAGTTCCATTTTGTTCATCTTCAACTTGCCATGCGAAGGCTTTACCGTGGATCTCAATTTGGAATACCCGTTCAGTCATTGCTCTATACAGAGGTGGGGACTAATCCTATCACGGAAAAAGCACTGAAACCCACCAAACCGCACGACGAAGAGGAATTTCAAAGTAGTCATATGACAACTCTCCTGTCTATTGATGTAGTAAGACGACAGATCTATCATTGTTATTCCCACATCTTAAAAACGGGTATATGCACGTCTGTATGCATATTAACCGTAGCTTTAGCTTGAGCTCTGTCGTTAATGGTCTTATTAATAAATATAGCTATGATCCGACAACAAAACCCCGAGATCAAGGGCGTTGTGATAAATGCAATACCTCATGGCAAATCGAGATACGGAGTATGGGACAGAAAGAAGTGTGCCTTGTGTTCACCCGGTGGCTCGACTTAGGACCAGGACTAAGCCCAGACGATGATCGGTGGAGGTGTCACAATGACCACGAATTCGAAGTCAACTTGGCAGAACATGAAAAGGTTGATTCCCGACAGCGGTTTGAAAATGACTTCATACAGGCCAATTGCTCGGATGCGCTCTCAGAGGAGGAAATGTATTATCGGAACATCCGATTTATTCAAAATCAGGCATATCGAAACTTGATGACTCGCTTTGGGGTATCCGACTGGTGCTTATACGGAGAACAACAGCCAGATCGCTCTTCTCACTGTGTTGTTAGTTGAAATAGCCCAATGCAATGGTACTTGAAGGATAGAACTAGGGGAAATCGCAGGAGCAGACCAGGTCCCAATCATTGCAAGCAATTTAACTCGGCCCATGTCGATGAAGAATATTTTTGCTTGTTTGATTGCATGGGGGGTGCCTGCCGTTTGTGACTTAATTGCCTTATCGGGAAGGCACCTCCTCCTCATAGCAATGACTCGCCTCCTCTACATTTCCCTTTTCTTTCTTTCTTTCTTTCTTCTTCATTGTCATAGCTTCGTTTATTGAGACCCCCCTGCCTGTGCAATTAAACAATTAAACAAGCGAAAGTACAGTCTATATTCTTTATCGTCATGGGCCGGGTTGAATTGCTTGCAGTGATTGTGACTTGGGGTGCTCCTGCTAGCGGGGTGGGTTCCCCTAGGTCTAGCTTCCATTTACAGACATATTCTAGGTCGCCATGGCGGACAAACTCCATCACATTACCAACCTCCCAATGCGGAGATGGTCCCGCGCATCAAGCTACGATTAGACATCAAACTGACGGTGATCTAATTGTACAAAAAAAAAAACACTAACAATTTGCCTGCTAGCCTATTAGCCGTGTCAAGTTTGTTAAAAGACCTGCAAATTGCTTTCCTTTACCTTGGGGACCGAAAGTGGCAGCTACGGGGCCGACGTTTAAGCGGTCATCAACTTTGGCATGGCTGCTAACCAGTTCATATATTCCAATGGATGTAGAGGAACAGCTTACAACTAGATCTGTTCTACATATATTTTGCACAAACCAACAGACTGTTTTCATACAGGTTTCATAAAAGAATGATCAAACGGGGATTCCGACGGGTTCGTGGGCGCAGCGAACTCCACATGGTGGCAAGGGAGGTCAACATCATTCACCAGGGGATCATAGATGGATCGGTGTGGATAATTCAAGATCAGATTAGATGACATGGCACGATTGATTTGATTGATTAATCTAAGTTCCTGGAGACCAAAAAGACTTTTGGTTTGTTCAAGGGTTTCCTCGGTCACAGTCAATATAAAGTTTTTGCTCTCGCACGCGACCGTTGAAGGGTGTGGGCAAGAAACATGGTCCGTACTGATAATAACAAATAGTATTCCATACGAAGTAGAGTAGTACTGCGAAGCGCCTCGAACGCTTCGAGACAATGCGATCTAGCCCCGAGACCCATCCCGCATGTAGACCTTGCCTGGACAGACAGAAGCTTGGGTTACCGTCATAAATCCCGGTTCCGCGTATCTGATCGGAATCAGATAAATCAAAAACCAGACAAGAGGGCGTGAAAGTCAAATTTCGCCGAGGACCCGAAGAAGATCTCGTTCCACAATGCTCAATTGAGTTCATATGGCGACCTCAAAGGCTCCGAGAAGATGATGATTCATGTACGAGGTCAATAAATGCTTGCTGCTTTGAGCACTAATTGGGGGCTGGAAACGACCTTGACCTTTCCTTTGTATTAAGCTTCTCGCGAACCTTACACTGTACACCGCGTGGAAACGCAAGGGACCGGGTAGCCTTTCCTAGAGAGCAGTAAGGGGAAAAAGGAACATAGTGAGACAGATGATGGCATGACTCGAATAAAACGGTCTTCGTGATATCCGGCTAGCCCTTCAAGTGGTTTGGCGTAAGTGGTGGACGCAAACGGGATGGCCGCATCAAGCAGGTAGCAGCCCTGAAAAGAGACTTTGGGCGGGGAAGCGCTAGTCCAAGATAGGAGGGAGACTCGAATCCCGGCCAATCAGGGCTGCGGCCCCCACACCATCTAGGGGCTTATTGGGGATGATCGCCGTCACGGCAGCCCCTGATTGGGCCAAATATCAGATCAACTGGACCCTGTCCGCTCACCCCGATATTTATCTGATCGTCGCATCGGAGCCTCCGTTCGAGACCGAGGGGAAAAAAATGGAGATGTCTTGGACGACTGCGGGACTTTCTGGTCTGGAAGCTCTCGGGCCTCTGTTCGTCCGAATTAATAGAAAAAAGAACCCCTCTAGCGTCGCAGATCTTTCCATTCTCCTTTACATCCTCCCATTCCGCCCAATACCCAATCCTTGTATATCCTCACACAGCCCCGGAAGCACCTGAGGATCTGGCATCCGGTTTGATTTCCTGATCGGAGAAAGGGATATACAGTAATGGGTCTCCCCGCGACCGCTGAAGGTCGCGATGACGGCAAAATTATCGACCAAACTATAATCGGGGAGAAATCACACAGCTCGCAAAATGAGAAATCGGAGACACGTGAGGACAATGGCGACGGGTCATCATATGATCCTGAATCACCTCCCAGATTGGACGACTCCCATGGGGGCGACATGCTCGACGATGAGAAGGAATTGGAACTGCACCCCGACACGATCACGGAGGGTGCCGAGTTAGGTCAGCAGAAGGCGGAAGCAGCAGCGCTCGCATGGAGCTGGCCAGCTTTGGTTGGAATATACGCTTGGTAAGTAGATCGCGGCTCATTCCTTCCGGCGCTCTTGCGATGAAATCCATTTTCTGACAACGACCGAACTTGCAGGATCTGGATCTGCACATTTATGCTGGCATTCCACTCGAATATAAGTGGATTCCTGATCAACTACATTCAGGGAGGCTTCAAGTCCGCACCGCAGGTCTCAACATCCTATATCCTCGCGAATATTGTGGGCGGCGTTCTTAAGCTGCCGCTTGGTAAGACCTTGAACTTATGGGGTCGTGCTGAGGCTCTGGTGGTCTCGACCAGCATTTACCTTCTTGGTATGATCATCCTCACTGCATGCAATGGTCCCAATGGATATGCGGCCGGCTACGTGCTGTATTGGATTGGTTACTACTGCCTATACCTGATCTTGAATGTTTTCGTCGCCGATACCTCGGGTCTAAAAAACCGAGCTTTCGCCTTCGGCTTTATGCAGACTCCGTTTATCTGTACTGCATTCACGGGCAGCATTGCAGCAAACTCGATATACGCCAATTTCGGGTGGCGCTGGGGTTATGGCATCTTCTGCATCGTGATGCCGTTTGTGTTCTTGCCCCTCGCCATAGCTTTCAAGTACTTTGAGAAAAAGGCACAGAAAAACAGCATCTTCCGACGACAGCCCAGCGGTCGCACGGTTGGACAGTCTATCATTCACTATATCCATGAATTTGATGGTAAGGATACCCAAACCAAAGCTCGGGATATTGACACTAACATTCTATTACAAGTCATTGGCGCTTTCTTGCTAATGAGTGGCTGGGTAATGTTCCTCCTGCCATTCAGTTTGGCGCAATATGGCCGCTCTACGTATGCGAGCGCAAAGTTCATTGCTCTCATCATCGTCGGTGTCTTCATGCTGTTCGTCTTTGCAGCATGGGAGAAATGGGGTGCACGAACCCACTTTATCCGCTATGAGTTGATCAAGCGGCCGACCATTCTAGGCGCATGCATACTGGCCGCCGTGCTGTTTTTCAGTTTCGAACTCTGGGATCAGTACTTCTACAACTACGTCTTGATCTCCTACGATATTTCCCCAGTCCATGCAAATTACATGATCCAGATTTACAACGTCGGCTCTTGCTTCTTTTCTCCCGTCATCGGAGCCATAATCTGGGCCACTGCACGCTTCAAATACATCTGCCTGTTCTTCGGAGCCCCGCTTATGATCCTCGGCTCCGGCCTGATGATTTACTTCCGTGGCGCAGACCACGGCATTGGCTACGTTGTCATGTGTCAGATATTCATCGCCTTCGCCGGCGGCACCCTCGTCATTGGCGAAGACATGGCTGTTATGGCGGCAGGTGGCCGCGAGGGAACTCCGATGATGCTGGCCCTCATCGGATTGTTCTCGAATATCGGCGGCGCGATTGGCCTGGCTGTTGGTGCCGCTATATACAACAATGTCTTTGTCAATACCCTCGCGAAACACTTGCCGGACGACTTGAAGTCTAATGCTACCGAGATCTACTTGAATGGTATCACTGTGCAGTCAACCTACCCATGGGGAACCCCTCTTCGCGAAGCTGTCGCGTATACGTGGGGCTACGCCCAGCGTCTGAACTGCATTGCTTCTACTGCCATCTTGGCTTTGACCATTCCTTGCATTCTGGTCTGGAAGAACTACGACGTTAACCTGAAGCAGAACAAGGGTAAAATGATCTTCTAGAAGGGTTTCCGTTGCACGGGTGTTTATGTATTATTTACGTGTTGTTTTGGTGCGCTAAATTCTCTGCCGCGCAGAGAAAGGATCACTACTTTCATTTGTGCATTTATTATAATTATCTCGTTGAGCGCGGATGATGTGAATGTCTATATTTGCACCAAGGTGACTGGTCATTTTGCAATTATTAGAACCAAATAATTTTTTTCTTCATTTCGCCTGCCTCTATGACCTATGTATACATATTCTAACCATTCTCAATCACATCTTGTAGTACTGGAATTAACACGAAAATGAGGCGACGGCAAGAAGACCGTGGTGGGGTTGACCGCAACCCGCGATTGGTGCAAGACTCATACATCCAAAGGTCGACTTTAATTTCACTTCTCTTCCTTCTAACCATTGGCCTCACCCTCAAGGTGATATTGAATTGCCTTCACCATGCCTCCATCTGCGGCAATGAATTTACGCAATTCCTTTGGCGATCGGAAGATCCCCGATATCTCGCGCAAGATTACGGCATGTGTCTTGTGTCGCAAACTCAAGGCGAGGACTACACGGTTCTAAAAAGAGAGCTATATACTAATACCAATGCAGATAAAATGTCATATGACTGATAATAAGCCCCCTTGCAGCCGCTGTAAAGGGCGTGGGCTTGCGTGTTCTGTCAATAAGAGCCTCCAAATGCTCTTGGAGAATGATGCTTCGTATGTTGTCTCCATAGCCTGTGGTTTCACTTATAACTCTGGCTGATACATAGGTTTAGATGGAAGGAACAGATGGAAGATCGAATGAGCAAGCTAGAACAGTCTATCGAACAAAACACAACTCAGCCTTCTGCGGTTGCCTCGGGCAATGCCGCTCTGCCGCAGCCACTTAGTTTCAACAGCGTCGAAACTGACATTCCCGGCGGTTTATCTAATTCCTTACCTCTGGAGACACCTGAAAGAGTCACTTTGAATCTGTCATGCAGTCTTGGCGCATTTCCAGCATCGTCTATCATCAGTCTTACGCTGGGTGACATTGGAGCAGCCCCAGGACGGAACCCCGACCCAGTTTCATGCGGATATATCTCACAGGAGATAGCGGAGGAACTCTTCGTATTCTTCAAGCAAAACTTGGACCCTTGCATTCACAATACCCTCGGCGAGAACGACTCTTTCAGTACCATCCGTACACGCTCTCCGCTCTTCATCACTGCAATATGCACAGTGTCTGCCTTTTGCACTGGCTCCGATAAATACAGTCCCTTACTAAAACATTTCACAAACCAAGTCTCCGCGAAGTTATTTTCGTGCAATCATACATTCGACGACGTCCGCGCGCTGTGTATTGGAGCTTTATGGTTGAACGAAGTTTCCACCGCGCTGAACAGTTTAGGTGAGCGACAGTGACACTAATGGTCTCAGATCTTGCCTGTCAGTATACTAACAATTATTCAGCTGTTCGCATTTCCACAGAGCTGGATTTGCACAGGTGCATCACAAAAATGCCTCACACAAAACGAGCCTGCTATGACCGTACCCGGTTATACTGGCTGGTATACCTCTGCGATCATCACTGCTCTCTCATCCACGGAAGACCTCCCCTTACGCGAGACTTCTACTCATTAAGAAGGCCACGAGATTTTCTGCAAAGCTATTTCACCAACGCTTCTGACTTAAGTCTAATCAGCCAGGTCGAGCTGTGGTCCATCAGCAGTCGTGTCTTTGACATGTTCGGTGCGGATATTGAGTACAGTGCCGCTAGTCAGCGGTCGAATGAACTGGCGCAGCTGAGTGCTGCCTACGATATATGGTTGGAGGAATGGCTTGCCATGCTTTCCTTCACGAACGTACCGAGCACATTTTCACGCCGTGTCTTCGATCTTTATTTGCATTCCGCGAAATTATATCTCTTCTCGCATATTTTTCGAGGCTCGTCGCAGGATACAAAACTCTCCAGCTCTGGGTCCGAATCTGATACCGACGCGGACAAGTTTGCACACGGCGCGGCGAGAAGTGCTCTGGCAATTATCAGGTGCATTGTGGATGACAATAAATCATCCTCGTGGCTGGGAAAATTACCAACCTATATTGGGACCATGGTGGCATTTGCCTGTGTCTGCTTGGTAAAGATATCCGTCGAGCAAAGACCGTGGGCTCAGGACCTTCAAGCCGAGGGTATTCCCAGTTACCTTCAGCGACTAGTTCAGGTCCTCCTCTCGTCGCCGGTTGTCAACCACCCCACACATCCTCTACTGAGCATTGCCAGGAGTCTGGAGACTGCCACTGCTGTCGCTGGGGGTGTATATGGCCAAGACTCTCTAGCCTCAATCGATATGCGAGATTTGGACCTTGATCTGGGATTTTTTGATATGTTTACCAGCGATACGTTGAATGGGTGTACTGATAACCACGGTGCATTTCCAGGGATGTGAGCTCAACACTCAAGGCCGCTTCATAATTTTCTTTTCTTTTTTTTTTGCCTTTCGACAACTTCCGGGGCAGCAGCATATACCTCCTAGAGGACGCGGAAAGTCTCGGAGTTGCCATGCACGGCTGCAACAGAGAAGACATCCTGGGGGTCGCACTCTGTAGCTTTCTAGTAGCCTCTTGCGACGGCAGGATTAGTTAGTTACAGCTTATACTTAATTTTACCCTTGGCCGAGGATAGTTTTTGCCCTAAACAAAATGTCGGCAGCGATTTAAGGTGGTTTATTTCATGTATTCTCAGTAGAATCCTGAAAAGTGTAGCGAATGAATTTCACACTAAAAGGTATAAGGGCACATTAGTAGCATTGACATAAAGAGCAATCTGGGACAGAATAAGAATATCAACGAGAACAAGAAGCATTTTCAAAGCACCGTCCATCCACTGTCGATCAAATCATCCAGGCAGGGTGACAAGGCCCAGGCAGAGCCTTCTGCCCCAAGCTGAAAGAACCCAACGATACTTCCACCTTCGTTGTCATCTACCACGATGGGCGCGCCACAAACTCCTTCCCGGATCGAACCAGCAGTGGGTCCATAGAGACGGTAAATATTCTCCATAATGAACTCAGTGAACGGGACCACGATACCGGGAGGTCGTGGTGGACTTCGATCCTTAACTCCAACCACTCTGAGAAACACTGCTCCGCTTGTCATACCGTCTGCACAGCACCATGTGTTATTTTGGACTTCGGTGGAACGGATGAGGCGATTCGGAGGCTGGGCTTGGAAATATTCCCCATTTGTGAAGGTTGTCGACGGGTAAAGTTTCACCAAAGCGACGTCGAGAGCATCGGACCGTTCGTCAATGTGACCAATGCAAACGCCCCCATTCCGAGAGGACGGATGATAGACCTCATCAGAGTCGATAAATCTGTGATTGGAAACAGTAAGTCTGATATTCCCTGAATCGGTGTTTCTAAGTTTCACGCCGGCAGTTGAAGCCATGGTGGCATCGAGGTTACCACCGTCTCTGCAAGTAACACCACACTCTACTCGCACTCCTGGGCAGAGAGTTTGGAGGTCAGTTAGCAAATAGTTAGTCGTATCCTGAACCGTTCCAGGTGTAATATGGCGTTCTCTGCTTTCGCACGCCAGAGGCCAAAAAGGCGTATGACTGTGGTGGTATACAGTGAGGAGACCACCGACTCTTCCTGGGAGAGATCGGGTGCTATATGATCTTCCATCAAGCGCGATCTCAACAATGATGATAGGAGCAATGTAATTGACAGCCTGCACTGTCACAAGCCTACCCAAGGCCTGTAGAACCGCTTCCCGTTGCTTTTCGGATGGTCTCTCCCACTTCGGTAGTTGAAAATGCGGAGAGAGGGGGTCAGGTAGCCTCGGGTTGCTGTAATCGGTGTTCGTTGTCAAGTAGGGCCAGTTGGATCCGGCAGGGATAAACGTCGCTGCAACACATGCCACCGTCAAAGGGATTGGATTTGGGGGAAAACGGGTTTCAATGATGATGTCTGGCCAGCTGTAGGTCACACTTTCCGCACGGAAGACATCGACAATCCACTTCCTTTCTTCAGGTGTAGGAAAACGGAAATCGTGTATATGATCATCCCAGAGAGAGAACGGGGCTGGATCAGAAGCATGTCGGGCGCCGTATCCATTTTTAGTTACCCAAGTAAAAAACCTGGGCTGGTGAGAAGCGGTGGGTTGTTCTGGAGGAGCGGTGCTTTCAGGGTGGGAATGCAACAGCGCTTCATAAGTCTGTTGCCTTGAGCCAAATGCGACATATGGCATTTGGAAGCGCAGCGATTCAACCGTAGATAGTCGTTGCTGCATACCGTCCCGATAGGCTATGTGGCCTCGGCTATCGATCTGAACACGGGCTAAGACAGACAGGTATTTGTGTTGACACACTTGGGGAAAAGGCAGTGATGTGACGTCCAGCTGGACTCTGAGTACAGGATGTAGCAGATGTTGTCTGAGATGAAGTGAGTCTGAGATGAAGTGAACTAAGTAACCGAATTCCAAAGGGAAGTGACGGAGGGATCTATACTCTGCCAGGTACGGCAGCCTTATCTCGTTAGTTACGGAGTACTAGTTAGCTAACTTATCGCGCTAGCATGTTGACTAAGCACGGTCGCCCCTTTGGGTTTAGTGGGTGCACTCTGAATATTCTTCTTCGGGACCGCCATCGTAGACGAATCCCGAAAGAATCGGATTGTTATTAGGACAAGGTTGTATTGCATTGAAGTATCTCTTACCTAGCCCTGTGTGGTAAGATTTAGTCTTGTTTTCTCTCGCATATTCAAAGATTGAATTCAAAGTTGGAGTAGACCAGTGAACACGCTGAAATCCTTCCACGTATTGCACTGGAATTTCTGTCGTTAATTTCTATTTCGTACCTAGGTCAAATGGTCTACCGTGGCTATTCTGTCAGACAATATATGTAACTATAGCATCGGGTTTAGTATGGTCTGGGGTGTACCTAGGGTCCCGCGGGACCACCCGCCGTGTTCCCGCGGTCCACGGCTCGACGGTTAGATTATGTAATCCACAATGAAGGTCCGGGGCCACTGTAAGCCAATCACGCAAGTGTCATGTGCAGATCCCCCAGAAAGTACCGAGGTCGGGGGCGCGGATCTCATTTGTCCGAGATAGGAATTGGGAGGGCTCTTGCTTTTTTCTTGGTTTCTTTGTTAATACCAGATCCGATTCTGAATGGCAACCATCAATGCCATCGCGTCGGAGTCACACGAAATCCAGGAAAGGGTGTTTGGAGTGTAAAAGGAGACATGTCAAGGTGAGTGACAAATTTACTCCCCTGAACCCGTCGGTGGATGTGGTTCGGGAATGTGCCTGAATCGTGGCTCAGATAGCCTTTACGGACGGCAGTGACCCACCAGCCGAGACTCAATTCTGACGCAAAGCCCAGTGTGACGAGGGCATTCCAACATGTACTCTGTGCAGGAAGCGAAAGATGGAGTGTAGATATCCTCCTCCAAATGAAGACGAGGACAGCCCTATGGCATCATCTAGTGCCCAGGACGAAACAGAGTGTGGCACTGTGACCCCATCAAGGGATTTCACACAAGCAACACGCTTGCTTGAGACGAGATTATTCCACCAGTATATGACTTCAACGTACCATACGCTGTCGCAGGATGGACTGTCAGGACACCATCTCTCCATGACCATTCCACGCATGGCCGCATCTTGCCCTTACCTGCTTGACAGCATCCACGCATTCTCAGCCTTACACTTGGCCTCGGTTGAAACTGATAATCGAGCTTCATGGCTGAATCATGCCGTGCGATATCAGAGCCAGGCATGCGCTGGACTAAGTAAGGTTCTTCCAGAAATCTCACCACCAGATTATGAACCAGCATTTGTCTCCTCCATCATCATAATGCTATTCGCCATGGGATCTCGAGTACTGTCTCTTGAAAATCGAACACTAGACCCGCTTTTGGTTGTTCTCGAGGCTCGTACATTGATGTCCGGCCCCGCCATGCTTTTTTCCCGGATACTTGAAGGAGGGGTTGACGCACAGCTGGATGGATGGCTGTGCACTCCTGACACACCAGAAAGCCTCGAAACTGGGAAACATGATCAGTATGGACCTCCTGCTCTCTGGCTCATCGGCGAAAGGTTGAATAATAACATGAAACAGTGGCGGCAACCCGGTCGAGAACACAGATGTATTATTCAGCCTGCACAAGTATGTTCCAGCGATGTATAGAGTGACGGTGTAGGGCTTGCGAAGCTGATAATAGAGGCAGAGATATAATGATGTCGTTAGTTCGACTTCGTGCGATGATTGACACAAGGGAAGGATCGGATCAACCGATCTACTATGCCACATGGCAGCAGTTGCATCGGGCCATCGAGCCGTGGCCAAAAATTGGACCGCATGGTGGCCCCCTTGCATGGCCCTTATTCCTCTCCGACAAATTTTCCTCGCTGCTCCAACATGGCGATTGGATTGCCCGAGTTCTGTTTCTGCATTATGGAATAGCTATGCGTCTCCTGCGCCATCGATGGTACGTGCGCGACTGGGGTCGTCGGCTAGTATTGGCCACACTGGAAACACTGGACAAAATCCCTCAGGAGTGGGAGGAGACCATGTCGTGGATAAGACGAGCCGCTGCAAGGGAGGATTAGTCACAGGGATGATAACCAGATCATTCGGGGTTAAATATTGACAACAAAGGATAGTCCAACTGATCACCGAATCATATCCACGGAAGCAAGAGGTTACATTTAGACAATTTGGAGCATGGAATTTGACCCAATGACTCCGAGAAAACCCCGCGCTTTGACAATTTGGGCCTTGAAGCTACCCGGTGGCTTATCGGCGGGGTCGAAGCTTCGGGGGTTTTACACTTAACACACCGCTACGCAGTAGGTAGATTTAATGGTATTGGAAGATGCGCACCGTCAAAATATCTGATCCTTGGTTCTTATCCCTCAATCCCTCGTCCCCCGATGCCAGTTGCATTTTCTGAGCAACCTAGAGCCCGCCGATCCTATACCAAAGCGTCCGAAGCGAAGCTGGACGTTCTCCAATCGTGACATGCAACACCCCTGTCGAACTAGCCAAGATGTGGAGAAACAGGTACAGCTATCTCTCCAAAGTTCCCCTCTCGGTTATTGCTTTTTGTCCGATTGGAAATATTAATATGGGATGGCGTCTTAGCTTGAGTTGGCCCTGCCAGCATCTTCTTCTCCTGTACCGACTCTTGGGCATTGCGTACCGCAGAGAAATTGGAGGCAGACTCTAGTCAACATGCTACAACCGATCAGATTAGGTGTTTTGGCGATTCTATCGCTGCTGTTGATCGCAATTCATCTACCCACTGCCAACACCTTCCCCTTGGAGTTCTCCGAGCGAGACACAAATGCCGGCCACGGGTCGCACGGTAAAATTGGTCCTGGAAAGCTGGGCGCTGTTGCTAGCGAAAGCTCAATCTGCTCGCGCCATGGATCTGATATTCTGGAGAAGGGCGGAAACGCTGCTGACGCTGTGAGTATCTCTATCTGGGTTCGTTTGCGGTAAGGGTAAACCTCGGTACTAACAATGGCATAGTTGGTCGCGACACAATTTTGTATTGGTGTCGTAGGTGAGGCTACATTAATCCGCTCAGTAGTCGTATCTGAACATTGCTAACGGACACAGGGATGTACCACAGTGGAATCGGTGGAGGTGGCTTCATGCTCGTGAGATCAGCAAAGGGTGATTACGAGTTTATTGATTTCCGAGAGACGGCCCCAGCTGCAGCATTCGAGGATATGTACAAAGGCAACGAGGATGCTTCAATCTACGGCGGACTAGCAAGGTAAGACAAGTACGCGGAGCAGATCGGAACCAGGCTAACAGTACTAGTGGAGTACCGGGCGAAGTGCGAGGTCTCGAGCACCTCCATAAGAAATACGGCTCTCTCCCATGGTCGACTGTTGTGCAACCCGCTATCCACACAGCCCGGCACGGGTTCCCTGTCACAGAAGATCTTGTCAAATACATGGCATCTGCTGTTGGCACTGGAGAGGACTTCCTGACCAAGAACCCCACGTGGGCAATTGACTTTGCTCCGAATGGAACTAGACTTGGGTTAGGCGATATTATTACCCGACGCCGGTATGCGGATACGCTCGAGACTATCGCACAGCGTGGCGCGGATGCACTCTACTCGGGCCCCATCGCGGAGACTATGATCAATGCCCTGCAGAGCGAGAACGGGACAATGACGCTCGAAGACCTTAAAAATTACACTGTGGCTATTCGGGATATCTCTCAGATTAACTACCGTGGCTACAAGATCACGAGTACGTCGGCCCCCTCGAGTGGTAGTATCGCCATGAGTATTTTGAAGATCCTGGGTACATACAAAGATTTCTTCACGACTGAACAATCTGTGAATTTGAGTACCCACCGACTGGACGAGGCGATGCGATTTGGATATGGCGAGGTATGAATGACCAACTCTGATTTCACGGGTGAACTCTGCTCAATGATCGCTTACATGAACCACAGAGATCTAACTTTGGTGATCCCCTGTTTGTTGACGGGATGGCCAAGTATGAGAAGGAGATTTTGGAACAGTCTACAATTGACGACATTCGATCCAAAATCTCAGATGTGCGAACTCAGAACGTATCTGTTTATGATCCAGCCGGACTGGAAAGCCTGGACACGTAAGTCCTACTTGGTGCATCATTATTTCATATAAAGCTGACTCTGTATCAGCCCTGGAACTTCCCATATCGCAGTAGCCGACCACACTGGCCTTGCAATCTCCGTAATCACCACAATCAACCTACTATTTGGTAGCCATATCATGGTGCCAGAAACCGGTATCATCATGAACAATGAGATGAACGGTATGTCGAGAAAGCCGACTCCAGGTCACGGGATTAACTAAAGATTTCACAGACTTCTCCATTCCTGGATCATCGAACTCATTCGGATACATCCCCTCTGTATCCAACTATGTTCGCCCTGGAAAACGCCCCCTTTCCTCTATCACGCCCGCGATAGTTGAGCGACCCAATGGCAAGCTATTCCTGATTGCGGGATCCGCAGGAGGCAGCCGTATCATCACTGCGACCGTCCAGAACATTATCCATTCCATTGATCAGGGACTCTCTGCCGCCAAAGCGTTGGCCAAACCCCGTCTACATGATCAGCTAATTCCGAACCAGGTCAGCTTCGAATACACTTATGATAATGCAACGGTCGCCTCCATGAAGGCACGCGGTCATAATGTTACTTGGGTTGCTCCCGGGCAGAGTACTGCCCAGCTGATTCGGGTCTTGCCTAATGGAACATTCGATGCTGCTGGTGAGCCAAGACAACTCAACTCCGCTGGGTATTCTGTATAAAATGGGATATGTTGTGTGGATGCCAATGTACATACAGTCTCAAGTGCGCATCAAGATATAGAAGACATCGCTATAAATAAATAAACCGGTCTAGCAAATTCAAGTCTTTCGCAATGCATCCCTTTGTTGTATGTTGCAGATCCCTGCTAGATTGACGTTTCTTTATCGGGTGGTCCGTGCTTTCGATATTCCTTTTTTGATGTAGAGAGCTCCAATTCACTTGACCTTGTCTTCTCCCTTAGAAGTCTACGCCGACGTGAAAAGTCGATATACATTTGTCTTTTTCATGATTTTCATATACTAGTTTCATTGACACGAGATCGCGTCGCCTTACCAAATTTACACGTGAATTGTCCTGCGTTCAAGGGAGCTAGCCTTCGTCGTGATCTCCCCGAGAAGAGCACGCATTTGACTGCACAGAAGACTTGCAGGTGGCTTTTTTCACTCCTTGATTGTCTTTGAGCTTGCATTAATCAGACTACTTTTTATCTAAACAGTCCGCCGTAAAACAACCCACCGCGTTCTGTCTACGAACCCTTCGCACTTCCCCAACTTCCGACCCTAGACAATGGCTCGACTCAGCAATATCTCCGTCGTCGTTCCTCTTCCATCCTTTGACATCAACCCCCTGAAGAAATTTGATGAAAACTTCTTTGATCGTGCTATTGACGACATCTTGTCTGAGGAAGCGAGCATTGAAGGATCCCGAGACGAGATGATGGACGGCGACATTGACATCTCGAGCCCCTTCGGGTATGATGGCGCGTCGGACTCCTCGCCTGCAACTAGCACGGCAAAGAAACCGACGCCGAGAAAATCTTCGAGAAAAAGAGAAGCATATGACAATGGAAGATAACAATAGTAATGATAAAGCTCCTGTGAATCCCGAAAACGTCACACGACCTCAGCACGAAAATGAAGTCATAAAAGTTCAGTCCTGTCCCATCCACGAGGCCGGTGATCACCCTTCTACACTTTCCGGAATCACCGAGTCCCCCGCACTGCCGATTGATGACAGTGAAAGGACGGTCGAAGACACGATATTCGATTCAGTGGGTCTAGAAAAGAGGATTGAGGTATTGAAGTTCATCGCATCACGTCCTTTCATGATAAAACCGGTTCAACCGGTTCGACGTTCGGACAGACGAGAATTCAATAGCCAACTGCGCAGTGTCGCTGCAGAGGCTGGACTGGGCGACACAGCTATCGATGCTTTGATCGAGCACGTTCGAGGCGTTTACCTTGAGGAGCTTGGAATTGTGGCAGCAGAATATGCCGGCTCTGCATTTGGGGATGAAGTGGACGGCGAGGAAGACACATACACCGAGCGCTCGCACCGAAAACGGCGTAACAGCAGCTCCGGTCACACCGAGGACGATGAGCATAAGAAAAACAAGAGGCGTCACTCGGATCCGGCAAAACCGCACAGCCACGATGCTCTGCAGCATGATGAGCCAACCAAGGTACTGAAATCGTTCGAGGCAGATGCTCTAGAAAGTGTCCCTACTGAAATCCAGGACAAGGTTTATGTTGAGCCGGATGAACTGAAACGTAAGAACAACACACCGGATCTACCCAAAATGCCCACGAACTTCGTTCTGGGTAGCCCCAGTTCACCTATCGACTTAACCGACGACTCTTCGCCCTATGGCGAGTTTGTCTCTCAATTCAAGTATGTTTTGCTTCAAAAGGAACGTGTTGATGCCATCGGGGAGTTCAAAGATCTTGACAAGAGCAACGAAGAAACTCTTACACGTCGCTTGTCACTTGACGCCCCGAAAGAGGATATGCATGAGACCCGATCGCCTGAAAAAGTGGTCGAAATAAAGCCGTCGAAGCGTCGTGACTCAAGCAAAGAATCAAAGATAGAAAGAAACCGACGCAAGCGCGAACGGAGAAAGTCGCGCAACAAACATTACATGAAAGATGACTCCGCTGGTGGAGCAGAGAAACAGCCTGAAGGCCATTCCGCCGATGGGGCATATAAAGACCGAATTCCGCCTTCCACTCCGCCGCAAACCTCTTCTGAGAGCCTTAATGGAAGTAATGCAAGCAAACGAAGCTCCGGTCAGCTCCCGCTACCCGCCGATCCAACTCTGTGGGATACGGATTTTTGAGTGCCAGTGATTTGCCAGGTATGACTCCAAGTGATGAGGTCCAATCTAAGTATTTCTTAAGAGCCGACAACTCCAGAGTTGGCTCGAAACGTAAGCGGGAAACGGCTTCCTCGCTGTACAATTTGTCTATCCCCCCTCAAACCCGAAAGCTGTTGAAAGATTTGAATCTGCCCTCGGACTTCTTGTCGTCGGATTCTTCCTTGAGTGATGCACCGAGTGATTTTGATTTTGATTCTGATTGGGATGATCTAGAACGTCATCCGTTGCATATTCATATCAATATATCCCCCCCTAAAAGCCCATGTCTTGTCCCCCAATGTACAAACCCTGAGCCTGAAACTCCGGTGAAATGCACCTCTCTCGTTAATCCAGAACGCGTTAAAACCCCTCAAGCCAAAGCCCCGAAGCATTCTCCTTATTTCCCACCTGTGCTAGTTAATTCCGAATCTTGCCTCCCGTTTCCCCCTATCGATGGGTCTTCTTTCGGACTCATCCAGGAACAGCTTGCACACGACCCCTTTCGTTTACTCATTGCAACCATTTTTCTCAATCGAACCCGCGGTGGTGTTGCCCTACCGGTCTTGTTCAAGGTTTTTGAACGATATCCTACGATCGAGGCAATGGCAGAAGCAGACTCACCAGAACTCGTATCGATGATAAACTGTTTGGGTTTTCAAAACCAGCGTGCAAGGAAATGCATTACATTGGCACAAACATGGCTATCAGACCCCCCGGACAAAAGAAAAAGATATCGCAAGCTCCACTATCCACGAAAACTGGACGGTCGAAATGTTGGTCGTGAAGAATGCATTGATGAAGATGATTTACGAGTCGCATGGGAGATTGCACATCTACCCGGAGTTGGAGCATATTCCCTTGATAGCTGGAGGATTTTCTGTCGCGATGAGTTGCGGGGGAAAGCCTCCGATTGGAAAGGGACGGATGCGACAGAGGTCGGGTTTGTGCCTGAATGGAAATGCGTTCTACCACAGGACAAGGAGCTACGTGCCTATCTTACATGGATGTGGCTGAAGGAAGGATGGATTTGGGATTACAACACGGGTGACTTGACACTCGCGAGCGACAAGATGATGAGAGCTGCGCAGAATGGAGGGGTCGCTCATGAAGAAGAGGGGAGTTGGGTACTAGAGACATCCCCTGTCAAGGCAGTGAATGGATTGCATGAATCGGATTGATATCCTGAATACCAAAAGTTTCAAATCCACTGATGTAGTTACCTGTATATGTTGCCTTAGGCAGTAGAATCTGTGTTCCCCCAGACAGGTTTCAGCTGAGAGGGCGTTTGTATATATCTCATCTGATTTCAGGCTTCCATGCAGCAAAAACCACGTCAGTTAAAAGAGCGGGGCCGAGATCGTTCACCGCATAATCGCATAGTGCGTTTCTTTCCACTTCCAACAATTTCATGCGTCGTACCTGAATGAGGTTATTCGTTTCTTTTTTTCAACTTGAGATCACATTTTCTTTCCCCAGACCCCAGACACTTGGAATGCCGGATTGGTTCCCGCACATTGCGACCCTAAGCGACAAGTCACGACGGCAGCCCGAACTAAGCGCCAGGAGAATTGGAGACAAAAATAGGATCACATTCCCCTCAGTGGCAGTGCGACTCTAGACAGGTAACGGACGATTGACCCTTCGCGCGGTCCACAACTCGATTTTACGGATTTCGCCATGTTTCCTGTTAGACTAAACCGCGACGATAGGAAGTCGAAGACCATCAAGGGCACTAAGAGCAAGACAAACAAGACAAACAGGAAGACCTCAACCAAGGACGCCGAGGATCCTCCCACGGCTCGCTCATCAACTTCCCAACGCAGGTCCTCCATGCCTGGACTCGAGAGGTCGGAGGCAGCCTCGTTCCTTGAGTCGAGAACTAGTCTACCGTATCCTACCTTCTCGAAGGCCCACAGCAAGGAAGGCGTCCGAGCGAGTATTCCTACCCCGGACCCGACCGACTTGACACATGACGAGGGGAAGAACGGTCACCGCGAGAATCACCATGCGCCTCCTAGTCCGCCCCTGACTGGTCTCGACCAAGAGTCGAGGAAGGGCAGTATTGGGAAAGGCAGTGTTATCAACGAGGATGAGAAGGAGACAGACAAACCCAAGAAGAGAACAAGTATCAAAATCAGAGCCTCCGAAGTCAACAGGTCCTCATCGAGTCTCCGGTCGAAACCAGATGATACCACCAAGTCCAAGTCCAGCAAGACGTCACGAACGGAGACCCCTACAAAACACAGAACGTCCAAGGATGAGGGTGAAGCTTTGCCTCGGTCATCGAGTTACAAGTCTAAGACGAAGGTTTCCGATGACAGAACGCTGCCCAAACGGTCGAGTCGCTCGACAATGTCTGCCTCGCAGTCGAACGTCACACTTCGTGATAACGGTGGAGAGTCAGTCAACGGGTCTGATGCAACGTCTATTGCCCCTAATCAGCAGCACTCGGCGCCACGAAAACCTATGACCCCGCCCGCGAAGCCTCCCTCTCGCACGCAGAACCGATCGGCCATGTCCCGTCGTCGCACTGCTAGCGACGAATCGATCGATTTTGTGAAACCAGTGAATCCAAATTCGTTCGGCGCACCCCCTCCGCCCCCACCTCCACCCGAAATGCCTGCTACTATCCCTCGAGTCGATTATTTGCTGAAAAATGGTGGTCTGGAAAACAAGGTCTCGAGAGCACTGCTGGCTAGCCTCGGGCAGAATGATCCATTTTCACAAGGACAACCTCAGTCCCAGGCTATCGCCGGCAAAATCTTTGATCCATATCACCGTTTACTAGACGACTACCAAAAGGTCATGAGTAAGGATGGATCTCTGGCCGTGGCAACAGGCTATCGGTCTGTCGCCCGGCGTTTATTGGATCGCCTCGAAGCCGTGTTCGCGCGCGACATCTCTTCGGAGCCATGTAGCTGCCAGATATGCGATCGAACGGAGGCAGACGGTCGACCTGATGGGGTGAGCTGGGGCGAGGTTTTGGAGCTCGTGTCTGGCCGCAGGGAACTTCCCATGTGGCCTCCCTTCACGATGGCACCAACCACCGTAGATACCGGTGTGCCAGGCGACGAGCATATTCCAATGCAGAAGCTTGACGTTGACGTTCCTGAGGAATACCGGGACCACTTCATACGGCAATCTCGAAAGACGAAGGTCGCTGTCGACAAATGGCTTTATGAGCAGAAAGATCCAGGCACCAGTGCTCCCAACGAGGTCGACGACGAAACGTTGACCTTCGCCATGCTTACGCATCTCGAACCCCACCAGCGGTCGTTGTTCTGCTCTTTGCTCGGCATCAATTCCTCTACTCCTGTCCCGCGGTCTGACGACGAGATGCCCCGGCACAAGCCTTCGGCGCTTATCTCATCGGCCTCGGCCATCCAGCGTCTTTACCGACTACCCTCCCTCCCTCGCGATCCAGAAACTGCTATGTACATGTTGAATAACCCTACACTCCACCATGTCCTCGCCACCCTTTCCGCCATCAGCGATGACGAGTGGGAAATTCTCATCTCCGGCCGCTTCGACGGATTCCTCCGCAGCGGCGCAGAAGACCCAGGCCCCACCGCCGGCGCTCGCTGGAGCGGAAGTCGCTCCAACACACCCTTAGGCGTCAGTATCTCCCGAGGACCGACACCCAACTATATGGACAGCAGCTTCCGACCCTCAAGCCAAGTTAACGGCGCACCCTCATCCCCCGCCTCGTTCGGCGGGCCGATTGCTCTAGACGAGGAAACCGAAATCGCCGCCTTAGCAGAAGTCGAGCGCGACATTTTCCTCGGAATGGAAGCCCTTGAAGATGCTTTCGAAGCCCTCCACTGCAAAGCTGAAGTCGTTCGACGTGCACTGCGCGAACGCGGCGCCGGCCTCTCCGTGGCAAGCCAAAGCCGCCGGGGTTCCTTCGTCGAAGCGCGCCTAGGCACACCCTTCTCGGGTGTCGGAACGTGGGAAAGCGGTGGTGAAGACGACTTCCTCGACGACGAGTGCTCTCTTGCGCCCGATGACTCGGCTAGTAATATCAGCTCGAACCGGCGTCGTCGGCCTAAGAGACGCACGGAGCGACGCACGCCTGCGCCTGTCGAGGAGGAAGACGAGGAAGATGATGGTCTTGGCCGTCGAGATACGCGTCCCTCGAGGCGTAGATAGATCGACACCTGGATTTGAATGGGAATAATTCTTTTCGATCTACGGAGTACGTACAGCGTTGGAATTATCCGAGGACTGTTTGCTGGATAGCATGGGATATGGATGTAACTGTTGCTGTTGCAATGGGCTTGATGAACTCATGATACCCCCTCCTACTTTCTTGTCCTGGCTTTTCTTTTTCTTCGTTTCTCGCTTGTTCTTTTGCTTAACTCCGCGCTTGGCCTACTGCTCCTTTTTATATCTTGCTCTTTTGATGATTTATGAATGCTACGAGCTTCCCTCCCCCTAACGACTAGCCATGCGTTTAGGCTATGATACAAGTTTGATTGAGCATATCTCAGCGGTTGAGTTGTTAGTACTGTGCAATACAAGTGAATTGGATCTAGGTATTGAAATGATCCCTCGGGACGGACTAGATAATTAATTCCAGACCAATAGTAGAAAGGCTCAGTATCAATCCCCAACATTTGACGCAATTTATGTCTTGTCGATCAACACACACCGCCATCTACTCCAGCTGCCGCAATGGAAGCCGGAGAACACCCCCGGCGGCAACAGGAGCCGAGCCGCACCGCGTCGTGGAAAAAAGTACGATGTACGAATCGCAAGCCGTCATCGGGTATATCTTACGACATCATCCCTGTTAGGTGGATCTCATGAACCAATCTCGATTCTCGACACGGCCAACGGTTTGTGATGCGGACGGCCCCAAACCAGCCGCTCCAGCCGCATTGACAAGCGTATGCTAAATGACGCAAAGAACACCATTTGCGGAGTACACTACAAAGTATTGATCACCGGAGTCTCAGGGTATGATCGGAGTGGTCACCGGAAAAACAAACTAGTTGTGCTAAAGATCGATAGGCTAAGATCATAAGTTAACTAAAATAGGAAAACGGGCCCGTCAATCGAATCTTCAATTATGATAGGCTGTGTGTTATGCGTACACGGCTGAGAATGGAGCGCTCTATAAGCGGACTATTTAATATTTGATTAATGATGTCTTAGGCACATTTTGGTTATATTGCATGATCTATTTGATCAATAGATATCTAAAAATGCAAAGGAGCCCCGAGTTGAGATGTATGCTTTAAGGTCAAAGAGTGGGGATTCGGCAATTGGATAGTCGATTTAGTGCTTACAACATAGGGGCATGCAGTCTGGAACTGAGCTAGTGGGATTTCTAGAAGGTTAAGGTTCTGAAAAGAAAAGGATGAGTTGGAAAAGGTTGCTGGGGATTTACCCCAAATTCAGAGCCGGCACCCAATATAAATTCGGCTGTTCCCGATTACCCCTGACGGGATATCTGAGACATTTCCAAATTGAGGCATTCTTTTGCGTAAGCACCAGTTTGACGATTTACTCCGTTGATCTCCTCCACTAGTCCGTGCTAGCCAGCTGGAATCATACCGGACATAAGGAGCCTCCTTTATCCAGCTTCTCGGAACACTCGTGTCTGTCCCGTCTACTCCACTTGACAGACGATGTTCGTGGTCGGAGCGGATCGAAGCTTAGCCCGGCTTACGGCAGTGTCTAACTACAACAGTCTACCCTATAAAGATTCACCCACCTCCATTTTGTTTTTCTGGGCGCATAAGTAGCGTGGTATATATTTCGGTATCTTTACAGATTCAAAATAGTTTAATATCCAAGCAATGGTGCTCTCAACCCTAAATTTAATATATAGTAGGGCCCTCGAGCATCACTAACTGCCTAGCATTCATCTGGCATATTATAAATTGACAAATTTAAGGGTTATACAATATAGAAGAGAGGAATCAGAGGGATTCTATATAATACAAAATACAAGCTTAATACTAGGGACTAAGACTAATTAGGGAAATATTAGCAGATCTATGCGTCACTAGAAAAGTGGGTGGGTGAATCTTTATAGGGTAGACTGTTGCAGTGTGCTATATCGGATTTTCCTGTGTATAGTACGGATCTATTTATAAGAGAGGAAGGGGATTGTATCTCTATAAGGCTGCATACTTTCTATTTGTAAAGGTATATATATCAGAAGGGGGTTAGGTATAGAAAAGGAGGAATATAAATTTGTAGAGAACGAAATAATTATTACTCCGTAGTTAGAGACTGCCGTAACCTGGTCCAATCACATAGCCAAGAGGTCAAGTGACCCCAAATGCCCTAAATACATAATCCTTTTGTTAAACAACACGGGCTAACTATTGCGGGGTGGATCTCACATAAAATTATGTTCATGCCGGGGTCCTGGCCCACTCGCCCACACGCCCACATTGTGCTTTGTATTATTTTTCTTTGTTCACTTGATGTATTGAATATGATATAGCCCGCCGATCGATCTTACGATTGTGAATTCCTCTGGGTGGTTCAGAAAAGAGTCTGCTAGTGGCCTTTATAGAAAGAGATGGCGATGCTTTCAATATCGTTGAGTATAAAGAATCCAAGATACACTTGTCCCAATTCACCCTAGCTAGTATTCCAGAAGCCTCGGCCCCAAATGGAATACTACATATAGGGTATTAAAGGTCCGAGCCCGCTGTCAATTACCCAATATGGCGCTTTGGCCTTGGATGGATTTTGCGCCTTATTAGTGGTTCCGAGAATCAGGGGTGCGTCTTTTCCTATGGAACCCGTTTCTAAACGGCCAATGCCCTTTTTTAGTATGCACTTAATACCAACTAAGCTAAACTTTGCGGCCGTTTCATTCGACATCCCGTGGCAAACTTGTGTCCTCTTACCCACATGAGCACGTATGCCCTAAATAGGATAAGTGGAGTACAAATACGCTGTATACGGGGATTCACAGCTCTGGACCGTGAACTATTATGGAGATCGAAATCCTTCGCCCAGGTGTCCATATTTTCCACTGACTCGAACTTGCCGTGGATAACCCAGCCATTGACCGACAAAATGGTCAAACCGGTTTAAGTCTCATTCTCCTATCCTTGCCTAAGTTCAATTAGTCCTAGTAGCCTGGGTTTGTTTCTTTCTCTCTCATTGAATCTGAATTTCACCTTTCATGCCTGTCACCTCTTCCCTCCACGAGCTATTCTTAATCTTCCATTGCAGGCAGCGCGTGGTGGAGATATAGTATTTACCAAATTCAACCTCTCGTTTATTCACATTCGCGTCGGCTTTGGATGTCGCCTCTTGTTGCCCTGGACAGTGACCCCAAGAACGTGCTTTGCAGCCTATCTTTCGACCAGGCAATGATAGCAGAATCTTAAAAGCGAAACCATCCGCAAACACATTCGACCATGTCGGCAGTCATTCTCATGGGCTTGATACCCGGAAACAAGCACTCGTTGGCAGCTCGCTTGACCAGCTCCGCTCAACTTACTATCGACCCTCTTTCAGAATCACATCGAGAAGGTCTAATAGCAATTTCAGTCTTGGCCTTCCTCTCTCTCATTGCAACATCAATACTCCTCGGTTTCATTACCTATCGACTTTTTTTCTGGCGCAGCAGTTATACACGTTACATCGGTTACAACCAGTACATCATTCTTATCTACAATCTTGTTCTGGCGGATTTTCTACAGTCACTTGGATTTATTATTTCTCTACAATGGATCTTGACAAACAAGATTGAGTCCAGTTCCGCCGCATGCTTTCTTCAAGGGCTGTGGCTGCAAATTGGAGATCCCAGCAGTGGCCTGTTCGTGTTTGCTATCGCGTTCCACACATTCCTTTTAGTCGTCTGTGGACGTAAAATGTCCCACAAGTTCTTCGTCTCGTTCGTGGTCGGCATTTGGGCATTTGTTATTTTAATGTTAATCATCCCATTAGCACAACACGGTCCTGGTATCTTTGTGCTTTCCGGGGCCTGGTGCTGGATCAGCGATGACTACGAAATCGCGCGTTTATGGACTCACTACGTCTGGATTTTCCTCGCCGAGTTCGGCACAATCATTCTCTACGCTGTGATGTATTTCCAGCTGCGCCGACAGATTTCCGCCTCCGCTATCCTCGGCAACAGCCAGCTGGAGAGTCTCAAGCGCCTACGCCGTGTCGTGGGCTACATGACCATCTACCCAATCATCTACCTCGTTCTATCGCTACCCATTGCCGCAAGCCGCATGGCCACAACCCACGGCGATACACCCAACATTGTATTCTTCTGCTGTTCTGGGGCCATCATCACCAGCTCCGGGCTGGTCGACGTCATCCTGTACACTCTCACCCGCCGCAACTTGATCATCGACTCGGAACCCAGCGAAGACCGCTCCTATCACAATTACAACGGCAGCAAAGGCAAACGAGGCGGGAACAACCTAACTACCGTTACGGCTGATCCCAAGCACACAGTCGGCGGCACTTACATTGATGAGATTGACCGCAACGGCTCAACGGATAACATCGTTTCACCCACCGCACATGGCTACCACGCCCGTGATCAGGAAATGATGCCGATCGGACAGGTCTACCAAGAAACGACCATTGTAATCACACACGAGCCTGCTTATCCCACCGAGGAATCCAGTAAACGCTCTAGCAAGGAGAACTTCCCTGACCGTCCATCTCAATCAGGATGGCGGGGATGAACCTTTGTTCATTTCTATCCCTATATCCATTTTGTGATATGATGCCCTCGATACCCATTTTCTGTCACTACCACAAATATTCGTTCCCTCAAGCTGTTTTCACTACCGCTTCATGTCTCTCTTTATCTCCCTCTTCTTTCTCTGTTTTCTTCCTCTTCTCTATGTCTGTATACTCTCATCCTAATCCTTTTTTATGACGAAACCTTGTATGTATATTTTGAAAAGGGACAGAACATGTTCGTCCCCACGTGAACCATGGCGATTCGCATGTGATAGTTAATTATTTCGAATCTGAAGGCTCGTGATTTGGTTTTGATTGAAAGAATATCCACATAATTTAAAATATCATCAAGAGCCATTCCATCGTGACTGAGAATGGTATCCCAAAATGCTAATGAGTTTCAGCAGTCGAAAAATATTCCCATCAAGAAAGCTTTTTACAGAAATATACACGTTCAAACCCACCCTCCATTCTGCGATCCGTTTCCATAAACCCCAGTTTTGCATAGAACCCAATATTCTCAAACATCTTCACATTAGTGAATAATGTTACACTGGGAAGCCTCTGTTTTTGAGCTTCCGCTTCCGCGTGGTTGATCATATAGTATCCGTAGCCTCGCCCTTGCGCTGTTGGATCGACTACCACGTTGTCGATTTTGAGCGAGTTTGTCTGCTCGTCGTCGTGGAAGGTGATCGAGCCCACGATCCGCGCATTGTCTCTCAGAACGAGAACTTCATACGTTTGGAGCACATGGTCCCAGTCTTCTGTCATAGGTGCTGGTGGTTTTCCAATGCGTTCAATGTATTTTGAATAGGCAGCATCGACCATCTCTTTGATGGCTGGTATGTCTTCGACTGTTGCTTTGTGAAGTGCGAGCTTGCTGTCCGATGGGAACCTTGAGCTGAGAGTTGTGGTCATGATGAGAAAATGCAGAGTGAACAGTTTAAAAATACTTTATTTGGGAGTTTCTTGAGGAGAATAGTCACAACATATTTTCCCTTGGGTTGTGAGTCAGAACTACCCCGCCAAGCGACAACTTTATTGCGCTCTTTACTCAAGCCAGACATGATTCTCAAAATAAATCCAATTTGACGGAGCTAAGCTAAGACCTTCAATTCGACACGTATACTTCGAAGAAACATGATGTGTCACAATTGACAATCACGCAGGAGGAAGTGCAAGCTTCCCGGATGACCAACGCCCCTGAGTCCATACATACTCCGTAATCGCCGAAATCTCATGACCAGCCTGGAAATACACCCGAACCTCCGGACGCGGGCCATTCATCCAGCTGATGCAAGCAATCTGCGTTCCCGGGATACAGTCCGCAAGGAAGTGTCCCTCGGTCCAGGACTTGCCGTCGTACACCATCTCACGCATCGTATTCGAAGTATTGTAAAAGACCCGAATTCCGACGGTTTCCGAGCTGGTCATGTAACTAGTGCAAGCTATAGACGTCCGGGGTTGGACCTTTGGGAGCTTGGCGCCTCCACCATACCAGCCGCGTTTGCTGTCGTAGCACTTCTCGATGATGCCATGCTCCATATGCTGGAAATACACACTATCAATAGTTTTAGTATCCCATGAAACAAATCCTGAAAGTAGCAATTACCGGATATTTGGTTCAGAAGTCTTAAACACAGTGCACGCTATGTCTGTGCCGGGCATTGCTGAGCCCATGTTCGACATTATCTCCCAGTTTCCATTATCTATTTCGCCGTGAGCAATGATATAGCAATAATAGGTTGATGACTTACCCTTCAGTCCGTATTCCTGAATCGTGTTGTCTGCCATCTGACAATAGACCCTGATAGTCCCGTAGGGACCATTGGGGTGACAAGCGGCCAGCTTTGAATACGGTGCGGTAATAAAACGCTCTTTACCAAGATTACCCTCATACCACCCTTTAGATTTTTCATAAGTAACATCATTGATAGTGTTCTCGGTGGAGAGGTAGTAGACTCGGATCTATGCAGTTTTTGTTAATTGTGCCCTTGATGGCTTTTCCCGGGGAAAACTGACATTCTCAGGGTCACTGGAGGTGCAAGCTAGAGGCGAATAGAGCTTGGCCGAAGCAATGATATTCTTCTCTGTTCCGTTGCTCCATTTGTCGTCGTACTTCGACTCGCGGATCTTTCCCAGGACATCTTGCATATAGACCCGTAGGTCACTGCCTGAATTACAGGCCGCGATAGAAGTCCCTGAAGAAATAATATCAGCCCTGATGGTTTAAGGAAAGCAGGATATTTTCCATACGAAATACAATCTCGTGGGCTCCGTTGCTGGGCATGATGCGAGAGTTAGTTTGATGTAATGAGTTGAAGATTTTCGCGCCGATAACGAGGATATTTTGGATTTAGATCGGAAATATCGAAGAGATTTATAACTGCGAAAGGCCAACATCATGTTTTGCATGTCACGAGGTCATACAAGCGGACTATACTGGGCATGAATTCTGGAGCATTGGAAGAGCTCTGATTGTCGGAATATGCGATGCTTTACACATGAGTAGCCAAGATTGTGGCACATCACGCAAACAAGGCCCAAGACCACGAGGAGCTCGCGGATTGTCAACGCACAAGGGAACAAACACTTGTTTTTGACGGAATGAACCTACCGGAATCTCAGGTGGGTGGCAAATAGTTTCATTAATTGAGGCTCTGGGCAACATTGAATATGATGCCATGTGATGGGCGGTTGATTGTACTACGCTATATATGCAGTCATCAAGTCAAGATTCCCCGTCGTACAGTTCAGAGCAACAGCTCCAGAATATGGATTTGGCAAGTATTCTCGGCAATATCTCACGAAGGAGAGACGAAGGTCTAATTTGGGGTTTTTTTTTCCGATGATCTAGTCGAGAAGTTTGACATCCGTATGCTCATGTAGGCCAACTGGTCGCCTACGTACTCATCGAGCTCCAGATTTTATGATTTCAGAAAGCCTCTCACATGTTGAATCACAATCTATTCGTAATTCTGGTGTTAACGTCTGGTACAATGACTATCTCTCCGCTATCAAAATATTTCTCGAACTCTGAATAGACAAGAAGTCCATTACAAAGGGAAATATGTCACCTCCTTTTCCAAAAATAGCATCAACTGTTGCTTGTCCGTGCATAACCGAACAAATATGTAGCTAACGGGATGATTTCTATTGGTGTATTATTAGGCACCATAGCCAACTTTCTTCTTGCTTGGCATTATATGCCTCCATCATAACCCCCTTCCAGTCACTTTGCTCGTTTTTCTTGCGCTTGTCAGCGCCCGTCCACGATATGTTTATGCCCATCTTTAGCGTAGTGAATAGCCGTATAAATGTGGCTCGAAGGTCTCTCTTGGCCCTAGCCCAAGGGTCGATCATGATATGCTCGGCCTATCATAGGCCGAGTCAGTCCTAAGGATTATTGTGTAGCAACTTACTAGTAGGTACTGGGATCGTAACTATTAGGATTGCTAGCATTTTCACTAGATAAATAAGTGAGCGAAAAAGGCTTTTTGAGGCGCCAGACTCTCAGATTCTTCATGTATAATTGGGTTTGTCTGATAAAAGCTCGGCGTGACGTGGGATCAGTGTTGGATAAGTGCGCGCGATCCCATCAAGTCACGTGGTCTTGTCTTATCTTATCTACGCAGAGCTGATAAACCAGTGATACATCACGTGCAGTATTTTCTCGCCAAGGATTTAATTGTTGATTTCTGCCTCCGCATCCATTCATCTTTCATCATGCGAAGACTACTACAACGGCTTATGTGGTCATGGAACTAGCAGTTTAAGGCAATGGTGAACTAAATCCGACTGAATCGGATGATCCTGATCCTATCATGGCACAGATACGGCGGCAACATGAGGTGGTGGATTTTGAGATTGAAAAACGATATAAGGAGCAACAGTTCACAGATGTTACAGGCCGTCAACATGGATATATTATACTCGGCTCCTGGGACGGACGGTTCACCCAGCGAAGGAAGCGCTCGATCTATATCTACAATCATGTTCGGTACCGGTCATTTCATATCGACAACGCCGTGTTTTTTCTATAGGACTGACTCATGCATGTTTATAAGGTTGACCAATGAGATGCTGCTCTGCAGATCGAAATTGAAGTCATCGTACTATATTATCTCTGTATCACCCGAAACCATTTTGAGGACTGGACATAGAATTCGATCTCTGGACGAGGCAAGTAGTTTTACATGAAAAATATGCCAGGACACCTGTCTTCCACGGGGATGATAACCTTGGAATGGAGCAGCTGACGTTAGTGCATAAATACATAGTCTGATTTAAATGGTATGTAGCCCAGAAAATGCGTCTCGTACAGCTACCTCGAGGCTGATCGCGCTCAAGCGGAGCCAATCCGCTGAACTCGATGTAGCCCCCGATCGATCCGCATTGCATTGCAGACAGGTCCAGGTAAACTCGGTCGGGTCGACTGATCAAAACCTCAATTGATTGAAGGATCACATTGCAAGGAGTGAGCCAATATCATGGCTTGTACTCCGTACAGCGCCTGATAAATAAACACTCCACCCCTTGATAGAGTGGAATAGGAAGATTGACAAATTGACTGAGATCAGACTAGTTTTGCTGCAAGGCTAGTTCCTTAGATTACCGTCCACCTGCGTACATCTTCGCGTTTCAGTCTCACAACGAGGCGATCATTGCAGATCGGGGGTCTAGGGATCCACTATAGTGGGCCAGGTTTATTTTGATCGCCAATCCAGGCACCACAGCCGCAAGAATGTACAACAAATATCTTGTTAGAATATGCTGTAATGTGTCTAAGAGCCGGGCTTGAATATTGAAACCGTCTTATTTAAAGCTAACATGTGTTGCCGATTAGTATCTCCGCTCGAGAAGGTCCGACCCTTTCTTTTTTTTGATATCTCCCAACCATGTTGTTCTCTCGCAACGGTCTTCTGGCACCTTCGGTTGTTTTGCTGCTTCTGGCAGGAAATACTGTCGCCGATGACGCAGGAACGAGAGCCCGGAATGCACTCCAGACCCTTCAGGGCTGGTATAACCCCCAAAGTGGCATTTGGGATACCTGTGGCTGGTGGGATGGTGCCAGCTGCATGAATACAGTTGCAGATTTAGCTGCCCTTGACCCATCGGTGATGGATACAGCGACATATGTCTTCAATAATACATTCCACGTGGGGCCAGTGTCCAATCCGAATCCCGGACCTGAGCATAAGACTGTTTACACTCGTGACAACCAACCACAAACTTCCGTCAATGCTAGCCAGTGGCTGGATCAAGCTTATGACGATGATGGATGGTGGGCCCTTGCATGGATTGCAGCATACGATGTCACCAAGGAGGGGACGTACCTAGAACTGGCCGAGGGAATTTTTGAGAGCTTGGTATGTATAGTGTCAGATTCTGTGTGTACTTGGACGTTTGTTGATTCTTTCTAGGCGGACGCATGGGGCACTAACTGTGGTGGTGGCGGTATTCCTTGGAATCCTACCAGTACATACGTGAATTCGATTACGAATGAGCTATTTCTCTCTGTCGCAGCACACCTTGCAAACCGAGTCGCCGAGAGAAAACAGTATTATGTCCGCTGGGCTCAGAAGGAATGGGACTGGTTTACGGCCCAGGCCTTCATTGGTCCAAATGGTACCATCAATGATGGCCTTTTAGACAATTGTCAGAACAACGGAGATACTGTGTAGGCATCGTGTTCTCCGATTATCTTTATTTTTGGCTAACCTGTTGCAGATGGTCGTACAATCAAGGAGTTGTCCTCGGTGGATTGGTTGAATTGAACATAGCGGCACCCAATAACACATACCTGCCATCTGCCAACAAGATTGCAAATGCAGCCATTGAGACATTGGCCGATTCGAACAATATCATTCATGAATTCTGTGAGCCACAATGCCTTCCAGATGGCACACAATTCAAGGGAATTTTTATTCGCAATCTACGGATGTTGCAGAAAGCATCTCCACATAATATTTACCGGAAGGTAATAGATAACTGTGCAAACAGCATTTGGAATAATGATCGCAATGAACAAGGACAGTTCGGCGTCAACTGGGCTGGTCCTATTGAGGCAGTAGTGGATGCATCCACACACAGCTCGGCCCTCGATGCCCTGGTCGCAGCTGTTGCTGCGTTGGGTACCTAGCGATGGAATCCAGAGCCATGGATATTTTTTTTTTAATATTTTCTTTCGGCTATTCTTTCAAGTATATAAATTCTTGGTTCTGTATATATACCAAACATCAGACCAGCTTTCACGGTTCAATTGTTTTATTCTCGCTTTCTAGTATGACTGTGCTCCCTTGGTCCAGTCAGGCTGTGGGGCGGCCTGAGGTCTCGTGTATCCTGACTGAATGACGGATGTGGGAACTAATTCCAACCTTCCCAGTGTTGCACTCTGCCTGTCCTGTGCCCACACAGTCAAGCCTATATGATTGTCCCCCTCGTGGTTGATAATACCCTCTGGCCGTCTGGGGGCCAAGGTGGTTGACTAAATTAGAAATTAGAGTTGGTGAATTCCGGGTGAGAACCATGGAACCGTGTCCCGTGAACCAAAGGGACACATACTATATTTTCCGAATTGATACCCGTTGACGAATAGCTGGCATCTGTAATTGTTGCCTCGAGCATTTTGCTTGGTACTATCCTGAATTGAATTGTTGAACACCACGCTCATTGGAATATCCCATCCACTGGGGATGTTCAGCCTGAAGGATGCCGCATAGAATCCAACGCCTGCGTGCGATAAGCCATCTGTGACTGGGTTTGACAATTCCCATTTTGAGCTTGGTGGATTGGGATAATGGTATCCTTGTCTCTCGGCATACATGCCACCTCCATTCAGAGGACCACGGGCTAGATCCTGATACTGCTCTCCTCCAAGGTTGCCTGTCAACTTCCACGAGACATCAGATTGGTCGTGACCCGAAATATCGTAGTTTAAAATACTCCGTGGAAACTTGATTGAATCGGTGCCAGGAGCCTCTTCATCTTGACCCATGTGATCAATCAGCACTGAGATCACATAGGGGCTTCTTCCCTGCGACAAATGGGATGACAGCGACATGCTGTGGACAACGGTGGAGTCGGCGCTCGACCCGATCCATGAGCCAAGGAATGTATTATTCAACCATACAGAACGTCCGAATCCTGCGCCACCAGATATATTCAACCAAACATTAGATTCTTGGCCATTGGCGTTAAAATGGGCCACGGTATAGCAAAGACCCTGTGTGATATCCGTAGTCCATGGAGTACAGACTACTCGGAGTATCCAGCTGCCGTGGATTGTGTGTTGAGCTTCGTGTACAGGGCGTCCAAGCTGAGTCATCGTACGACAACTGGATCTCAGGGAGAGAATCGATGAACTTCCATTCCATGTTGGACAAATCGGGAATGTCCAACGTGGGAAGATTGTATCTGACAGTTCCCTGGAGGTTCCCATTGGGCATTTTTGAAGTCTGTAGCACTTCCCCATTGAAGGTGATGCCTTTCAGCTTTGTAGCTGGACTAGATATGACCTCGATTTCTGTCGTAGCATTCACATCCCCTGTCAGGCGCAACTGCTTATTTATCAGATCAGCTGTGTGGATAAGATATCCGGCCTTGACAACTACCAGGCTCTTCGATGGCGATGTGTAATTTCCAATTGGACCTGATACGGGCAACTCCAGCACCCAGTAGTTGTATGCCTCATTCCGCCAGAGCAGGTATACCTGAAGATCTGCTACCCGAATGATGCGTCGGGCTGGTGTAACACGCCACTTTACAACCCAAGCAGATCCGTGTTGTTTTATTTCGATGCTGTCTCCTTCGATGACGGTTGGCTTTCCAAGATGACTAGGCAGACCAAATTCGTGTGTTTCCCCAGCGCCTCCGTACAGAATTAATACACGTGTCGATCCCGACCCGCGTGCCCATGTGAATATTTCTGCGGAGGAGTAGACCAGATTGATCCCGCCGACATCGTAATCTGCGACGCGAAATTTGGAATCACGTCCATTCAGCGTCAGGTGGCCTCCTAGTTGAGGAATTTTGATGTCCCCAATACTTGTCAACAATGTGAGAGTGTACCATGTGTTATCGATTGAAGTGAAGTCGGCATGTCTGACAACGTAGAGATTCGTCCTCGTCCTATTTCCAAGTAGAGCAGTCACAGCTATTGAGGAGGGTGCGCCGTAAGTACCGTTTACTCCAAGATGAGGAGTTGGGTCAAATATCCGGGGGAAACTTTGAGGAAGTTAGCCTCGAGTTTTTGTTCACTATATTTCTCGCGCCAGATCGTCCTCTCTTCTGTAATCGCTGCACCGTAGTCGTATGATGTATGCCCGCCCATATAGCCGAGATTACCCCAGTTGGTGCCCCCGAAAGTCTGAGGAGAATTCCACAATAAGCATTACAACTAGAATATGAGGACCTGTGAAATCGACGCCGAAAATGACGGCTTGACGCCAGAAACGGCCGTCTCTCCACCCGTCATCTTACGGCGTGGTTTCTGGACTGAATATTCAATGTGGTTTTTATTGGTCTGATCCCGGTCTGTTCGTCTCATATCCAATTATTCCTAGAAATATGTACCTCGGGGCCGGTAGCGCTCTTTATGCGGTGTAATTTTCATTCACATGTATGCGTTAGTATATCAGAAATATGCAACGAACTACGCGGACTTGAAGATAAAGACATCACAGAATATCTGCAATCTCAGGCGACCGAACATAATACGACTGCCAATCATCGATATCACGCAAGCGCCCGAAACCCGGCAACTCCGTAATCCGCCAATACATCCTCATCCAGCCAACATCATGTTCCGTACAAGCCTCAAGCGGTTCCTCAGGAGGATCGATATCTCCATTCGCAATATCCTCTTCGTCATATTCCTGCGGCTCCCATTCCGCATGAACCATACGAACAAACCCCACCTCCTCATCAAAGTCCTCGGGGGGCGTTCAGAACAGATTCTAACGCTTCCTGGTCCACTGTGATAAAGAACCGATAGCGTCCTGTACGGGCACGATAGTCTTCACTAACGCCTTGTTCCTCTTTCCTTACTGTCTTCGCCCACTTATTGAAATGCTCGCGGAGATTGACTACTGTCGCACCCTCGAAGGAGGGGTCTTCGAAGACTGTTGGGGCGAATGTATCGAGGAGATCAAGACCACTGTAGTACTCTAGGAACTCTGGGGCTGCGCTTAGGAAGCGGGTCATGAATTTCCCCCACTCGGTATCATCTTGGTATGTGCAGCGGTAGATCACGAAGCCCCATGTTTTGAAGTTGTCTTTTTTAAGGAGGGCCTCGAGCCCATCGGCCTCGTTTAGACTGGCAGCCAGCTTGAGATCGTGTTTCGAGGGTGTAGACATTGTTCTTGAGAAGCTGGTATTGCTGAGATGCGGTGGTGCATATGCGGGCTTCGCGGGACGTGAAGGGCTGATCGGAGTAGGGAATCCAAGGATACTTTGGCGGGAGCAAAGCGCGTATTGGCTGTAAATGCGAGGGAGGCGTGTGGTTCGAAGAATCCTGGTAATCATAGGTATGAAGGGCCCTCAGGGTGGATTCCTGTTATGAAGTGACGGGGGGGGGGGGGGGAGGAAGAAGATGGCACATGTAAAGATCGGTAAGTTAGGGAGTTGGGCATGGTCTAGTTACAGAATTGACCTATACAGCTTCGTAGCATAGCGCAATCACTCCTTTGGGGGAAGAGTAGGGTATCGACCCGAAGTAACACTACGCCGCTGTGAGCTAGATCACCACAGCGGTTCTACTCCTGTGCGGCTGCCATTCCAGGTCAGAGAGCGAGAACGAGCTGAGGCGTCAGATCGAGCGGTATCTCTGGTGAAACGAAAGGGGTAGTACGTCGGGCTGAAAGCCAATGCGCCGTAGTCGGTAGGGGCCAGAGTGGAAGAAAGGGGGCGGCGATGAGTGCAGATAGAGAGGAAGAAGAGGACGAAAGGGCGAGGCCGGGTCTTTTATGTTAAGGCGACGGAGGGAGAGGTGACAAGACGGTGTATGGGGCGCTAAACTCAGAACGGCAAAACTAACCGCATCCCGTAATTCACAGGTCCGCCGTTTACAATATAAAACCAAGAGGTTGTATGGACTCACCATGTAAATGTTGAAGATCTTCACGCCAAAATTGTAGTTGTTCTTGTACACAACTCTGACAGCCTCTTCGTTTACCAACCGGCCGTACATGTCTTGGACCAGGCCTCCCATATAATTACATTAGTTCCTTTCATATGGTAAAAGCAAGAATCGACCTACCATCCTTCACCAGACCCTCCTTGGAACTCAGCAATCGAAAAAGGCGTCGTTGGACTCTGCCGTCTGTGCGTGACTTGCCAGTCATATGGAAACCTGTAAGTAGGCCAAACAGTAGGATTTGCGCCTAACGGGGGGAATCTGTCAGCCTTACAGCACGCATAACACCGAGGTACGTTGGAAACAAGCTCACAATCATAGCGCATCGGGTACGCGTCAATAGCGTAGATATCGACTGCGCCTTTCCCTGACCCCGGCGCGAAGTATCCCATAACCAAGTTATCATTCACAATTGAAGGAACAGTAAGACCCTCATCAAGCAGCTGCTCTTCAACGTATGCCATATAATTCCGATTCATCTCAGTCAGGAAATCAGTCACTCCAGGCCAGGTGGAGTACTCGTTCTCTGGCTGAACCATGATCACTGGACCACCATTTGTGATCTGTCCCCTTTCAATAATCCGGCCTAATGTCGACATGTAATTTGCTGTTGCATTCAGGTATTCAGGGTTGTCGGATCGAATAACCCCCTTTTCTCGTAGAACCCACCCAGGTATCCCACCAGCAGTTGTTTCTGCGTTGATGTACGGTCCCGGTCGAGCGATGAGGTATAAGCCAGCTTGGCTTGCTGCGTCGAAAAACTCATCCAAGCTCCATATCCCGTCGGTAATAACGTGTCCGTGATTCCCTTCTAAAAGGCTCCACTCAATGTAGAATGAGACTCCGGTGAAGCCCATACTCTTTATTTTTTGGAACACGTCGAGCCAAAGACCTGGGACTGGGAGTCGAAAGGGGTGAAATTCTCCAGAAAAGATCATGAGCCGCTCTCCGCGTACTATCATAGAATGTTGGTCCCACGTCACCTATCTCTAATGCATTAGTGAAATGGTACTACCGGGGTGACGCTATTCTCACTAGATCTTGTAGCCCATTTTTTTGAGGTCGAGTATGGCTTTTGATAGACGCTGAAACCAATGTTGCAACTGCAGAAAGCAGAGTGAATGATATTGACGTCTTGAACAACATCTTTTAGAGGTGGTAATTAAACTATGAGCCGGCAGCTCGCGAGATAATCGAGCGAAACAAGAAGGCAAACGGAAATTCCAAAATGTTTTCTAGTTTGAAATTTGCATCTATTTCCCCGCATTAACAAAACCGACTCCGTAGCAAGAAGACTGCTAGCTTTGATCCTATTGAAGGGATATTTCGCCAATTAACCGGCGCACCGGTAAAACTACTACCTGTCGATCCTCTCATAAACTACGGAGTAGACAATGTTAAGTACAAAACATCGTCCCCACTATATTCCTGACACCAACCGAAAATCAGGCTAAACCAGATTACCCTAGTTCATGGGCAAATTACATCATGGTGAGCTCATTTCGCCATCCTATCCTATGCCTCATTTCTAGCCACTCGGGATGAGATTTCCCTTCGACACCTCCACCGAAAACGAAATACCAACCTCTTGATCCAACAATGGCTGCACATATCAAGCCACTCATCCTTCACGCCCATGCCACGGACCCAAACCCAGTCAAAATCGCTATGGCACTCGAGGCGCTCCATGTTCCATTCGAAGTGAAGCTGTGGGACTTCAGCGACAATCCGAAAAGTGGCGTGAAGGGCACAGAGTTTCTCAAAATCAACGAGAACGGGCGCGTTCCTGCCATCGAAGATCCCAGCACCGGTGTCGTCTCGTGGGAATCCGGGGCATGCATGAACTACGTCCGCCGTGTTTATGACAAGGGTAATACGATTGGTCCGTCTGGCGACTCGGCTCAAGATCTTGTGGATTTTGAAAAGTGGGAGTATTTCTTGTTGACAACGCTTGGCCCCATGACAGGACAGGCAACCTGGTTTAAGTTAGTGACTGTGAATTCGGAAGAAATCGCCGGGTGATACTTACTCTTTATTTGTTCAGAAACTATAACCCACAGAAGAATGATGATGCGCTCCAGCGGTATACAGCGCAGAGCTATCGCTGCTACGATGTTCTTGAGGGTCAGTTGAAAAAGACTCGCGGTGAAAGCATTGTACCCAGTCGGGTCACTGCCGTTGATTATCATTTTGAGCCTTGGGTACGCGCGTACTCTTACGCTGGCCTTTCACTTGACAACTATCCTTTGATCAAGAAGTGGCTGGGGCTTATGGCGGCACGGGAAGAAGTACAGGAAGCATACGTCAAGGTTCGAGGTAAAAAGTGAATGGTGATACTTGAGATCATACCAGGGAAGGACTTAACTAGGACTAGAATCAGGTAGTCATGAAAAATTACAAATCCAAATACAAACACCAAGTATGAAGTAAATATCATGTTGTACATTTTTGTCACTCTATATATTTTTGATCACGAATCCAAAATATTAAATTTTGAATGTCCGATAGCTGCCTACGTTTGTACTCCAGGCACCAGAACCTTTGGGACATCAAGGAGATATAGCAAATATGCCTTTCCATTGTGCGACTTGCTTGGCATTTTGCCTCCACGTACGTTGACCTGCATAGCCTGGTGTACAAGCTTAGGTTCAGGCATCTGGTTGTCCCGCTGAGTTCTCCACTTCACAAACTCATCCTCTGTCGTGTGCTTCTTCATGTGCTTGTTTTTCTTCTCCTGCTCGCCAACCGTAACATACGGCAATGGCTCCCGTGCAGTGTATTCGTTGGTAGGAGGATAATCATGGCCTGTGTATAATCTCGTTTCCGGTGGGAAAGAAAGGAGGCGTTTCATCGAGCGGTAAAGTTCCCGAGGATCGCCACCTGGGAAGTCACATCGGCCACTGCCAACGTCTGGATTGAACATACAGTCTCCGGTGAAGATATTGCTCCCGAATTTGTAGCCCCCGTGGTCTGGAGTATGTCCCGGGAGATGGAGGGCGCTGCTGGTGACTTGGCCAATCTGGAATATTTCATCGGGCTGGAAGAGGTGGTCGAAGGCGTTGTCGATATCTGCCTTCGCGATTGCATATTTTCGTGCGAAAAAACTTTGGACGATCTTGACATTCTCGCCGATGCAGATCGGTGCGTGAGGTTCCCCGCGGGACCAGAGAATTTGTTGGATATAGTAAGCTGCTGAGAGGTGGTCTGCATGGGCATGTGTCTCTAGCAACATCATGATAGTGTATTCATTTTTCATAGCATAATCAATGATTTGATCCGCAGATTCAGAGGTAATAGCCAAGTTCACAGTATCATAATCCAGGACTGGGTCGATGATGGCAGCTTCCTTTGTTTCAGGACAAGCTACCAGATACTGCCAAGAACAAGTCTTAGGCTCGAAGAAAGGGTGAACTCTCGGTTCCACTGTGTTGGCCATCTTGAAGGTTACTTGCAGAATATGCTTTCAAGTTGAAAAGTAATTAAAGTTGGTGTTTCCTCGAGTACGAGCCTGGCTGGTTGGAATTACGTATTTGTAGAATCATCAGTGCCACCCTACCTCAAATTCAGACAATTGGGCTCAGCGATCCATTAAGTGTCCATGTTTTTATTCTCATTGTAACTTCCTATGGGGTTCATGCTCTAAAGTCTTTTGGGTGATGTTTTCATTTTCCTCCGTGACTGCGACTATATAGCTATAAAACGAAAGAGGGTATGATTAACCACCCCCATGTATTCCGTGGGACTCGTCAAGTGACTATGAGAACTACGACTTCAGGAACATTCACGAGAAAGCCCGGTTTGCTATTTGGTACAGACCTACAGGACTTCAACAACTTCTTATGTTGATGCACTGTCACTGGTAGGTAAGTTAGCAGGTGCTACGGGACCCTCCTACGCTGTCTCATGGTGCCTATAGGGAGATGGTGGTCAGGGGGATGAGAGGCAGGACTCCTTTTATACCCCAAACCCACGTGCCTTCCTACAGTGCCCAGGTGCCTTGCACCTTCCCTAAGCAACAGACATCCTACATTGGAAAGAGTCGTGCTGATTCAGCATTAGATGATTCCAACCTTGGTTCCAAGTTCTACCTATTATCCATTTGGGCACGAAGAGAAATTAACCAGATCAAGGAGATTAACGGCAGGAACAGTGAGAATAAGACTTTGGTGCCTCTTAGCCGTATCTACCATATAAGTTTACAGTTTACGAAAATAGACCACCGACTGCTTCTGGTTGCAAGGGAATAAACTTCAATTGATAAATGACTGTATTCAAATTTCTTTCTAACCCATTGAAATCTCTTTCTTAAATCTGTCTGTTTAGTGCTAACCATTGACCCACTGTTTTGTCAAGCGACCGTCCTTGCGGTCGCAGACATTTCACGCATACAAAGACATCCCAGGTAGGAGAGATTGTCTGTAGGTATGGAATGCAATTTTTTTCTTCGCGGATTCTCCATTAGAAAGCGAAACCACTAAAACCGATAGGCGACGATCGTTTCCCGATAGAACCGTCGCTGACAGACCATTGATCAATTTCGCTCTGGTCACTTGGTACGTCCCATCGAGCGGTTTGAAGATCAAGAGTGTGAGCAGCTTGATTGAATCGGCACTGCCAGCTCTTCACGGCCTTGCATCCGGGCTTTTGGCATAGGTGGCCCATGTAGCATTTGATTGATCGGCAAGTGCCGCCCCGAGTGCAGGGGTGCTGGAGGAGCATGTATCGCAGAACCTCAATGATCACTTCAGAGACATCGCTGTGGTCATAGGTACAGCTCATGTCACCGCACTCTCCCGACAGATGGTAGCTATTACAAACTTTGTGTTCTTTTGCTCGAGCGTGGTACTGATCAAAGGCTTCAGGCGACGGGTGAGGATAGTATGGGTCGATACGGTCCCCGTCTTTATTGACTGGGATGAATTCTTCCGTTTTGATACTCGGCAAGGGGAGCATGGACCTAAAGAAATCTTCGGAGCGCCCGACAACTGTAGGGGAAGACCACAGTTGTTTAGGTGAATCACCTGCACCTGAGTATTTAGGCGACGGCTGATGATTCAATGACTGGTTCGGCATAACGTGCTGTTTATTGCAGCCGATGCCGAACTTGCAGATACCCTAGATCAATGTCAGTCAAGAACTTACTCGCGACTGACATTATGTGATCAGGAAAAATACCTTTTGGAAGTGCTTGCAGATTGGTTTGGTGGTATTTGCGCCATTAGCACCATTTATGCCATTAGATACGTAGTGTGTACCGTTTCCACCGTTGAACTTGGCCACAGTCGGAGACGCAGCCGGGCCTGTAGGTGGCTTGCTGTTAAGTAGAGGGGTAGACATGAAAACCGAAGGTAATTCTCTGATAGGGATATCCAAGTCCTCGAATTCACGATGGAAACCAGCGGCTTTGATGAGGGTGATACGGTCACCTCTGCCTCTATATGGCGTCAGCAGGGAGCCGTATCCAGTGTCGTGGCAGCCAGCAAAATAGATATGGCGGCATTGGTTGAGTTCAACGAAGAGACGGAACATTTCTTGATTTCACAGCACACATCAGTACAACAACGAGATTATTCATGCCGGATTGTTCATTACCTCTGATCTTGAAATCACTGCCTTCCTTCTTCTCTGCAGCATCGACATAATCAAATAGCTCTTGTGCACGGGTAAATGATGAAGTAAATGGTGACATGGATCGAGCCTCGTGGCCCATAAGTCCAGCTCGAGCTAACGCCTTCGACAAACCGAGAACGTTCGCATAGACACGAACCATGATCCGACACTGTTCGGCCTGCATTCCCATTGTCGAATGCATAAGCTCTTTCACAGAGTCGCTCAGTTCGCGGGCAGCATTAATGCCACCTTCGCTGCCATGCTTCAAGAAATGTTCTTTGAACTAGAAGATGTGTTAGTCGATGGATTTGATACCGAGGAAAGCAAGAGAGTCTCACCAGATATCCGTCTCCATCTACAAGGACAAGGACAAAAGGGTTACGGTCCTGCTTGATTGTCAGTTTTAAGCTCTAGGGCATCCTGTAAGCCTGCCGACTCCTACCTGCCCTCTGGCCTGTCTTTTGTATTTTTCTCGGCCTTCTTTAACCTCTTCATAGTCACTTTTGAGCGAGCTATAGTCGTCCAACAGACTCTTGAATTGGCCGAGCAAATCCTGCAGATTGTCATGCTGCTTTTGCTGCTCTCGCGATAAGGACAGTAGATGCCCATTCAAGGAATCTATATCAGAATCCCTCAGCATCTTGTCGGAGGTACCGGGACGGCATGTGCCAGTCCCATAAGCCAAGTTAATTTAACGAAGACTGCGAGCATTCGATTGGGATTTGAAAGAAGAACGATTTTCTAAACTGTGAGGTGCGCTGGAGAGCTATGGTGGGGAAATTTGTTTGGCTTGTTGGGCGGTCAATGGCCCCTAGGTATCAGGTGACCCCTAGCGGAAAATACACGACGCTAGTTGTGTCACGTGCAACACTTTCCCATAAACATTCCAAAAGTGGACTAGTGTTAACGCGACCCGCTGGTGGTCTCGCTCCTATCCGAGTTGCAAACCACACGCAACATATACAACATCTAAGCACGAAAAGGCGAGGAGCTACTCCGTTTAGCTACGTATGGAATAGATATGACGACTATCTCCCGTCATATTGCGGTCATTTCTTGTTTATCTTAAAGGATTTTGGTTTTGGAGGCTAAGAGTCACTAGGGGTCGATCTGATATCACCTGTCTAAAGCTCTGGCAAAGAGTATGAGGTAGCATGCCGAGACAGCATTAATCCTGTGTCGCTTTATAGTAGCTCTAATTTGTCTGAAGTACTGTGGTCTCCATACATTGTATCACCATGGAGTAGCTCCTGTATAGTTATGAAACACTTACTCTGCTTATTACAAACAAACCCAACCGCCATGTCTAAGTAGCAAACCAAACTCAGACCTATTGATTTGGAACAATCTCCAATTTAAGGATTTGTTCCTAGGAATACATTTTTGTTGACCGTACGATACCATCCTCGGGCCTTGCTTCTGCTCGGGTGCGGGCAATGAACGGGTTTCAGACAACTAGTATAGCCAAAAAAACCACAATAGTACGTGGTGATGAGAAATTACATTGCAAATACTCTGCACTAACAAGGGGACTCGTTTAAAATAGGTTAATAATAACGGTGATTAGAGTGGTTTCCAGCGGGAACCATTCATTATTAATTTATTTAGGGAATAGAGAAAGAAGGAAAAAAAGAACACATGAAAAAGGAAAAAGGAGATGATAGAAGAGACACAAGAATATCAATCTCTTGGGAGACCTCTTCGTGGTATGCATACACATCATGTGACCTCAACCCCAGCGCCAGACATCTTAGGCTCCTTTGTTCCTTTTTCCCGTATTCCCCTTTTCTGCTTTTGTTTTTTTTCCCTGAATGTCTGTCGGGACTTGATTATCCAGGTCCCAGGCGATTCCCCATTCTTCTAATCATGGCGGTTCCATGCAATATCCGGGGTTCGGCTTCCCAGCTCTTCTATCAAGACCAACAATGTCCTCAATATCAAGCCCTTTTGGCTATCACCGAGATGCCGCATCCAGATCGTTCTATTCTGGGCGCTTTTCTCATGGATGCACGAAATCCCCAGGAAGCAGCCCGCTACTTCTTACGAGAGACCGCAATCGATGGCACCTCGCACTCCGTCCCAGCAAGGACAATTTCGGAATTCCTCTCAGATTGGAAATATTTGGTCAGCATGTGTAAGCATGTCATAGCTATATCCAAACAAGTTTATCTTGCTTCTATTCCTGACTTGCGATCGTGTAGTTCGGCCTATTGTAGCAACAGGGCTGTCCGCTGAGACCCAGCGGCTGGTGTATGAAAGAGACGGCGGGCGCTGTTGCCTCACACAAACACAATTCAAGTCACCGGAGGATTCTGACCTGCACTTTGTACACATCGTTCCACCACGGGTGTTGATGCATCCGGATTTAGTCGAGGGGGTAAGTATATTCATTCCATATCATGCGGTCTTTGTTGACACTAGCACACAAGGCTCGCCTATTTGAGATGCTTTACGCTTTTCTGTCCAATGATTCCATGCAATCGCTTCGGTCGATCCTTCCCTTGAACTCGTCAATGGAGAGACTTGATAATCTCTGGCTGTTGTCGGTCTCCGCATTCGAGCTTGTAGAGGCCGGCGAGGTATGGCTTAAGATCCGGAGCTGGGACCCGCAAAATTCACCCTACAGAAAGAGTGTAGGTCGCCATCAAGCCCTTTATACGAGTGCACGCTGATTTAAGACTAAGTATAGCATCAACACCAACCTGTACAGGTACAAAACTCGGAGTGAAATGTCCATTGCTCCATCAGCAAAGATGTTGCTTCTTGATGATAAAACCACCGATAAAACTCCTATCCCCCACGAAGCTCTTTTTGAGCTTCATGCCCTATTTTCCAAGTCACTGGCATGGATGGAGACACGGAGGCACATGATAGAACAACGGGATGCTCCCAGTAGGTTTGGACCTCGCTTTTCCTGATCATTTCTAATAGCTTTCAGGTGCAAACATGTTTCGGTTCTCATTGTTGCCTACGCTGTTATTTCGCACCATCAGACGAATATGGACCACCCTGCCATATTTTATTCGATATAGAGCGTATGAAAAGCTCCATTCGGTTGGCTTATACCTCTATGGACAATCCCTTTCTCCAAGAGTCCAACGGCTGCCTTTCGGGCTGTATTTACGCAAGGGACGACCGCAACAGGCAGTTCAATACCGGGCAGAGGCTCATACTCTTGGCATGGTGGAGAAATTCACTCAAATACCTGCGCCAAGAGCAATTGATATATTGGAAACCCCTAATGCTTCATATTTGCTCATGACCCAGGTCCCAGGCCGTCCGATCGGCCAGCTGCTCAATACTATGACGGACAAGCAAGTGGAAAACGTGGTGACCGACCTAAAGCGGTACGTCGCCCAGCTGCGAGCGATCCCTAACGAAGTCAGCAAATTTCAAATCTGTAACTCTCAAGGTGGCGGGATCCTGGACTGGCGCATCCCTGATAGCCAGTCAGAGGAATTGCGCTTCCAAACAGAGACCGACTTTCACGACTATCTGACTAGAATGATGACGGAAGATACTCGAAGGCATGCGGCCAAATCGCATGCCACCCCACACGCGATCGTATTTACGCATGGAGATCTAAATCCTAGGAACATTCTCGCTGAGAACGGCAAGATTACCGGCATCGTCGATTGGGAGAATGCGGGCTTTTTTCCAGAGTACTGGGAGTACACTAAGATGCATTACACAGTTCGCAGCTTGACTCGATGGCTGGTTGATGTCGTTGATCGAGTATTTGAGGGCTACCGGGACGAGCTACATGTGGAGAATATGCTATCAGATTTATCAGGCCCCTTTTAAGCCCAAATTATATCATATAGGCTTTCTAGATAGGATAAAGCAGAACTTCATTTATGTTTGGGATGTATGTAAAGTTCACTATGTGACAGTATCATGGCTCCTCTTGCTCTCGCCTTCTTTGATCTTATTTGCATCGTCTTTGGAATATCTTTCGACTCGGTTACTGAACGGCCCTCTCATGAAGACAACCCAGTAGTGATGAATCAAATATCCAAAATGATCAATCCAATCCGTTGTTGTCGACCTCAGCATTGTCCGCACCTCCCTCTACCTCATCCTTGTGCGAATAGCCCCGTTCGAGTAACTGGGCTTCGATCACAGAGATATCACGCGGAAGTACGATTATTCCATTCTTGTGGAGCTCCACAAGTGCATCCTTCACCCAGATTCGGCAGGAAAATGGCTCTCCGGTGTTTGGAGAGTGAGAGTAGTCGAAGGGAAATGCGTCTAGGATACTTTTGCAGGCTTCGAATGCGCTAGTGCTGAGGGAGGCGAGCTTAAAAGCCAGGACAAGGCTCATGGAGAAGGGAACGTCACTGGACGATCGGGGCGTGACGTTCCAGCCGCCGCTTCGATTGGTCGCGTGCCACACATCTCCCACTGGAGTGTTGGTCGGGATGAACAACCCCCAGTGGAAGCCCGGGGCAGCGCCTCGACTGCTGAGCAAGACATATAGTGAATAGTTCTCATACAGACCCGCAATCTCGGAGCTTGGTCGAAGAGGCATCTTGGCGGACGAAGGCAGATGTGCACTAGTAACGTGGATAGTGCGGATCGTAAAAAGTGTGGACAGAAAACTTCAGATGTGGAAATAAGGGAAGTTTCGGGGGGGATGGAGAATGCTGGGAGGAGTAAGGAGATAGGAAAGATCCAGAAATCATGTATATTTTATACACGGAAGGGAGGCTCTGCCCAGGAGTCGGCTTGTTGCCTAGCTCATGCCAGCGCACGATATGCGTGCATGCATACGGTGAGTGGTATGATAGGCAAGTGAGAGTGATGTGATGGACAGTCAACATACACTAAGCGCTAAGTGCCTCGATTGAAACCAAGGGCTGCCCAGTGGCCTATAGAGAGAGTATTTCAAAGAGGGGTAATGCACCCCCCTGTTAAGTTATTGAGAACACGACCAACCTGCTTGTTGGTCATGTTGATACCGGCAGTGAAATGAATACCAAAGGGTGTATTTACTTCATAAAATACACGTATACCCTCAGTACAAACTTGCGACAACTTAGCATGTTAGAGACGCTTCGAAGGCAATCGTTTGATATGGGTTGCCCATACGGCTCTTCGACTTATATTCCAGCGATTTTTGTTAGTATATAGCACTCATAATTCAAGCCTAGGAACCCAACCTTGGAAGGTTCCCAGTCTACAAATAAGACATTTAATGAGACCGGCTGAAACGAGATATCAAGGCGAACCGATTGGGAAGCCATGGGGTAATTTTCTATAGGACCGGGAACCCTCCTGCGCCACATGGTGATTTAGGATTCTTGATTATTTCACCCACTGTGATGTAAAATCCTGGGGCTAGTAATGTGGGATTATTTGCGGGACTAAAAGCATAGCCTTGGGGGGTGTACATAGGGCTTGCAAAGTGACTGGGTGGACTACATAGCCAAGTCCTTCATGTTTTCTGATAACTAGAAACAGTATAGTTCGGTCATCAGCCAGTGCAAGCTATGTAGATCTTATAATTCCGCAGCGGTTCGTTCAAACTCAAATCTCATCTCAATATTGCCAAAAACCCTAGCTACAAGGAAAACACCACCTCCAATCAATGTGATTTACACATCAATCGGAGCCTTGACTAGTTCAAGTCTTACGTCGTTATGTATGATAAGGTTTCCAAGTACAATTACGTCCTAAAATGGTTTGTCCGATTTATAATCAACTTTGGTTTTGCTTTCAACACTATTGCTTTCCGCTAAATCTCTTTCAAGAATTCAATTGTCATAGAGACAACCTTGAATCGGTGGGAAAGACTTCTGTACATATCTGAGCATGTCCATGACTCCTTGCTGCAACATCCCAAGCCGCTTGGACTTCACTTGACACGCCGTACTTTGATGGCCTCATCCATGCTGCTGTGCCTGAAGTTGCCTCGTATCTAGATAATACTCGGTTGCTGGTGGGCGGGATCTGTCAACATCAAGGTCCTCGGATTTCTTACATTTAAGATCGTCTAGACCCTAACCGATGAGGCGCTTAAAGTCAAGGAGTATAAAGATAACGAGAAGCACCGTCGCGGGGGGGGGCCGAGGCCGGTAAGAACCTCAAGAAGCGGAAGCGCGAGACCGGTCTATTCGACCCAGGGGCGTACTCCCATTGAGCAGCACATTCGTGAGGCATACCGCAAGCTATAGGCTACTCTACAGAAGGCCGTGGCTATGCTGTTGCATAATGGTCGGGTTCCTCACCGCATTCCTCTTGCGTTGGTGAGTATATAAATCTTCTCTGTATATTCTTATGCTAACAATGCCAAGATTTGAATCTTCGGAATTGACGCCGCTTCATGAATTACGCGAACGGTAGCAGGAGTTTGCGGACGATACCCAACTTTGTCTTGTTCTATTTGAGTTTATTTTGTTTGGTTTAATGCAAGCGTCTGAAGTTGACTTGTAGAAATTCGGGATTGTTAATGGGACCCCTCATGCCTGAATTTTGACAGCGAAATGCACCCATTCTGCTACCGCCTTCCCAGTTAATTACACCGCCCTCCTAATTTGTAATACCGCTCGTTCTCCCTCGTTTTTAACTGGCGAATATTTGACTTGCAGAATATGGGGTACAGCAGGTACCTACAATTTGTATATGAACCCTTAACAATATCAAGTCACTCTTCTAGAGGATGGCGACAGCGAGGTTCTCTAAGTAGAAGATTTACAGTATTGAATCAGCTAGGATAAGCACTTTTCTGTAAGCATAGAGGTATATCTTTTACTATGTAAACCAGAAGTAGGCAGAATACATGGCAGAAAAGATAAAATGTGGCAGAAATGTGGCAGAATTATGAGTGGTACTAGATCAGGAAGGCGGTATTGGAAATTAGGTAATTTGGGGGCGGAAGGACGGGAAATAACTCCGCCTTCCCCTGTCCCGAAAGTCTCATCCAATCACGTCACACGAACCATTCCCGTTTGGCTGCATCATCATGACTCTGCCATCCGTCGTTAGTGATCACGATGATTCTGATTTCGTTCTCCCACCCCAGACAGATAAAGGCAAGACCGAGACAAGCATGTCCTTCACTTCCCTCATGTCTGCTCTTCCCACGGACTGTATTATACGGACCTTTTCACGCTTCAAGGGCCTACGGCTTGAAGCTAAGCAGTTACTAAAGTCTCTACAAGAGAAGGGAGATGGAAACCAGTTCATCGTTGTCCTCAATCTATCGGCCCTAACAATCAAAAAGCTCGACGAAGAGCATCAGACTAGTCTGGGGGGCATTGAGTATCGTTTCCAATGGGAGGGGACGACAGGGCTGATTAAAGTGGTTCCGTCAGAACGCCATGATGCAGTGACAAACCAACTCGGTCGAGCAATCGACATGAAGCTTACTGCAATGGGACTAAGGTGGTCAGAGATGATCTGGACTGGAACAGCTACATACAAGCCTACTGTCGGTGTAGGTAAACAGGGAGATCACGCATTCCTACCACCAATTCGCTGCCCCAATGGGCTTCCAAGTGGGTCATGGCCGACCTTTGTCATCGAGACAGGAGTTTCTGAATCTCTCCCTCGGCTCCGCGAAGACGCTAAGAGATGGTTCATAATTTCCCAGGGTCTGGTGCGCATTGTCATTCTTATCTCGATTAAGGCGACTGAAGTCACGTTTGAAAAATGGCAGCTAGCCCCCCCGGTGCCCCATCCCCACTCACTCGAGCATATCTTGATTCACTCCGCGCGCAGCTCGTCAATATCCCTCCACTTACCAACCAACCGACTCCCACCCAGCAGGCATACTCAGCGCAGGAGGTCTACGTCCGGCGCAACAATGTTGTCGGGGCCCCCTTATGTCTTCCATTTGTCGCTGTTTACGACCGACTTCCAGGACCAGGAGAACATGATCTCCTTCTCAACGTCAATGATTTCCTCGAAATCACTAGAATCTTATTCTGATATGTTCTAGTTTGCTCTCGGCTCACTGCCCATCGTCCCCAGATGCCTCTATTCTGTTATGGTCTGCTATCGGGCTCCCTGCCCATCTTCCCCCATATTCTTCTTCGATTTTCCGTGTATTCTTTGAGATAGCTCTACAAAGGACTGTACCACTATTGACCTATAATCTATCCCATTTATTAGGGATCTAGTACGTACATTTTCCTTAACGGTCCGAGCTAGTATCACGTTGAGCTTCTCGAGGTCGAAGTACAACAGTCTACCCTAGAAAGATTCACCTACTTCCACAGTGAATTTACTAGCGTATAGATCAACATGGTATTTAATATGGTATTTTACTACTCATACTAAATTACTGCACTTTTTTTAAAAAATAAATACAGTGATCTCAATTTCTCAACTTTCTCAACACTCCATTTCTGACTATTTAACACCTACCTATTATCATGTCTGCCCACTCACCGGAATCTTCATATTAGATGAGAATTACTGATCAATTTAGCCCGACCATATTTGGCCTCATCGTTCAGGGTCTCAAGTTCTTTCTGTATTCACATCTGAAATTATGTCCAAGGGCGTTCAATTTGTGCAAGCAAAATCATACATTCATACATCACAAGGACACAGACCGCTTCTTATCCGCCATGATTTCATAAATCGCGTCGATGTAAGCCTTGGCGTTGGCGTTGCCCATGGCCCCTGGTCCCATTTTGTTCATGGCATAACCAATAGTCATGCGGCGATCTAGATCCATGACCATCATCGATCCACCCAAACCTCGCCAGAAGCAAATGTTTCCTTCGGGGATAAAGGTGATAACCTCCGGCACCGGCAGGGCGACTCCAAGCCCAAATCTGATGTTGAGGTACAACACCATATCGAACACCGCTAATCCGCTCCTGGAGCATCTGGTCGATAGTCTTTAGTCCAAGATACTGCTTCCCATCGACAGTGCCTCTCAGTGACACACTTGGGTACTCCCAACTCCTGTACTAGATCGTACTTAGTCGTTGGCTCACCCAACCTAATAGAAACCATGCGATCCTCTCCGTATCACACTATGAAACAGCATCGCTAGTTAGTGCTTGGCCATTTTCATTGCTTTGTCATCCAGGATGTTTGCCCGGCGGATGATTACCCCGGATGTGGCCATGATTACCAGTACCTGATAAGAGACCTCCTCCTGTACAAATAACCACTTTTTTATCGAGAGTATAGTTGCTTTCAAATATATGGATAATCTCTGGCTTCTGCTTGGACAATTGACGTGACGTCGCTCAAGTATCCTTGCTACACACTTAACTATGTGGGCAGGCTAGTTTCATATGCGACCTACGTAATTATATGGACGGTCCGCTCTGGATTCTAAGAGCGCCAGGATGAATAAATACAGGCTGATTCCATATTTGTGAATCATGTTGGTTTTGTTGATTATCTCTAACTATCAAATACTTCAGAATATCGTCATACCCGAACCAACTATATATATCACGGAAACCCGCGAGAGAAAGCCATATATCAAGGCTGTAAAAGGGAACAAGGAAGCTGGGATAATTGTCGAGAAGAGCTACATTACCAGCAAGCAGCTCCCAGCAGCCATGGAAAGCCCTGGTGTTGCGCGACCTAACGCAGCGGTATCTTTGGGAAACCTTGAGGGCGACCTTGAATGGGCCAGGAAATGTGACGGTTGTATATATATGAGTATAATGCCCTTAAGATCCATCACCCTTGTGCTAAATTGTAGAATGCTCTGTCCTCGGTGGCAAGAAAAACAAAGAGAAGAGACACAAGACTCCTCCCATCTAGTAGGCGAGGCTGGTCATTGCAAGGTCTTCCACGTTGGTGCTTCTACTCGGGGCAAGTTCATCACAGTCTTCAAAATCTCCGAGGATCTTATCGATTACCTCTGCCTGGCCACTCACATGTAGAAAGTTTCCAATGGAAGCGTGGATTTGGAGAAGTCTAGGATCTGGAAGTTCCCAACTTCCGTTATGAACTCCGAAATTAACAATCCGATTTTCAGGTAAGAGACGGCTTGTCTTTATAACGGTATCCGGAAAGGTCTTAATTCGATATCGTTGAGGAGTTCCGGTTTCCTCGAAAATAAGTCTGAAATGACCGAATTCCTTATGAATGTCGTTATCTAGCATCATGATATTATTCTCCGAATTGATCTGTTCCGAGGTAAAGCACATATTGCGAAGAACTGGGAAGTAGCGCCTTAGGTTAACCCAAATCGCTGTATTTCTGTGTCGGTGATTGGCTTGAAAAGATCCGAGTGCAAATGGAATAATATAGGCCGCTTCAAGATAGGTCGTTACTGCGTTCCGTGGATAGGCGTGAGCGTGACTATACAGCCCCGTTGCAAGACATTTATTACCATCTCTTTCTAAACAGCGGTTCCAGAGTTGCGACTGAGAGCTAAGATCCTCAATTGAATCTTCAACGCCAGAATGCGGAGACAGAGTGACCTCAGTGGGTATTTTACCACCCTGTTCTTTCAATGGAATCAATAAGCCGGTTTTAATGCTTTGGACTAGTTGCCGAAGCTTCTCATCGTTTGAACACTCTAAAATGTCCACCTCCAGATTTTCTTTTCCGCCAGGAGGAAGGATCTCGAGGAAGTCACCGAGGAAGTCCTTTGTTTTGTCTGTAGGTTCAAGTAGTACGTAGCTGTTCAACTTTCGATCCAGCCTCTGGCTTGGTTATGAGTATCAAAAAGACTACCTAGAAGGCATAAGCGGACTTACCGTCTGGGATGATGATATCACTATTGGCACAGTGGTCTAATCTAATTAGGACAGGTCAATCTTGTTGTGCTAATGCTGATGATTTATAGTCGTCCCTTGAGCAGTGAATTCTCTTCTGAGATCGCGATGGCTGTGACGTGCCAGGTCTTACAAAGATAGAAGAGTGCATCAATTCAAAATAACTTAGAGAGAGAGAGAGAAGAAGCAAGTTGCAAAGTGGGAAGCGGCCTGCTTATATGGTTGACCTTTGCAAACAATGCAAACAAAGCAAACTTCAAACTCTCGCTTAGCACTAAATTTGGTTCTGCGAGGTGCTGCAGCACTTGTCAAGGCCTGGTATATTATCTAGGCTTTGAACTTTTCTTTTCGATAATTATGAACGTCAACTTCTCCTACTCTATACGCTTAGTATATTGGTGAATGCCCGAGGGCCGTTTTATACCCCAACTCTATGAAAATTTGTTCTCGAAAGGAGAAAGTGATGGAGATGGAGCTCAGTCATTTCGCGAGTTTTTCCAGCTAATGCATGGTTACAGGTGCGCCGCTGATCCTTTCGGGGTAAGTCTTCAATATGGATGGTAAATCTCGACTGCACATACGAAAGACTTTGGGTGGTATTAAGCAATACATTCATTTTGTGGCATGTAGAACACCACCGAAAGACAGCAGGTGTAGATAGGAAGTCAATAAATACATAGAAAAAGGTATACAAAATGAACATATCTGGTATAATGCCGTGCGAATTAAAAATATAACCAACCACAGTGCAACTGGCCTCCTTCATCCTCGAAATATTTAGGCTGCTTTAGCAGTAGGTTCATGACCTTTCTCAAGTGCCACCCGTTCCTCCGACGCGGAAGAGAAAGACACAGCCTCACCGGGAGTAACCCGCTGCGCCGCATACTCCTCATCAGGTTTCCAGAAGTCCTTCTTTCCATGAGCAGCACGGTTAACCCAGGGTGGAAGGAAGCCGCCCTGGAGCTTCCAGGACCAAGGATCGGACTCGTCCTTGTTAGGCGGGACAATGCGACCAAAGGTGACTTTCTCAAGACACCAGGCAATGCCGTTCAGGGTGATGTAGCTGGTGATACCGGCGATCAGACCGTAGGCAATGCTGTATGTGAACGGCATGATAGCGATGGTGAGGAAGGCGGGGATCGCATCACCGTAGTAGCGCCAGTTGATATCGGCGGCAGACTGGGCCATCATCGCACCGACAATCACGAGCGTACAACCCGTGGCCCAAGGTGGAATGGAAGCGAAAATCGGAGCGAAGAATATCGCGATGAAGAACGCAATGCCGGTGACGCATGATGTCAGACCTGTTTTGCCGCCCTCGGAAATACCGGCGCCGGACTCGACGAATGCTGTGACGGGGGGACTGCCGAGAAGGGATCCGATTGAGATGGAAATAGCGTCAACCATGTAGGCAATGGCGCTGCCCTCGAAATCTTGGGTCTCCTCGTTGATTGCGCCGGCGAATCGGGCCATGGAGTACATTGTTCCTGTGGTGTCCAGAATATCGACATACTGAAGAGATGTTAGTCTTGAACCTCTGCGTGTATAGAAAGCTTGCGACATACCAAGAATGTGATGAAAGCCAGTCCAAACTTGCCGCCCTTGCCAGCCAAGTTCCAATCCTGAGCGACTAGAATACGTTTGATAGGATGGAAAGTGACAACTTGCTTGAAGAAATCAAACCTGCTGGTTCCGAGCTCAGTGTAGGGGAAGTAAGTGACGGGCGTAGTGCGAGGCCACGAGATGATAGAAACCAACAAGATACCCATGATGACAGCACCCTTGATGCGGTACATCATGAGCATGACCGTCATAATACCGCCGCAGAAGATACCAACCCACATAGTAGGACTGCGCATCTTAGTGCTGCTCAAACACAGGCCCGTATCGGGGTCGTAATTGGCGGGGAAGTCCGCACATCCAGCCAACTCAATGGGAGTGTCAGTGCCACCCTGAACCATTCCAATACCAGCACTGTAGGTCAAACCGATCAATGCGAGGTAGAGACCGATGCCGACACCGGTCGCGAGTTTGATAGACTTTGGCAGGGCGCGCGCCAGCCACTGGCGCATACCGATCAACGTCAAGCCCAAGAATACCCATCCTTCCACGAAGACAGCGAGGAGGGCAGTCGAGTACGGGACCATGCCGCTACCACGGACTCCAACAACGGTGAAAGCGAAGTAAGCGTTCAGACCCATTCCAGGCGCAAGCGCAATAGGCAGGTTGGCGAAGAAACCCATGCAGAAAGTCGAGAGACAGGCGATGGCGGCGGTGGCGGTGATGAGGTCGTGATTGACTTCTTGTGTGCACAGAGCGTACTCGACATTAGTTGCGCAGAAATCTTTCATGTCTTCCTCGGGGCAGACGCAGGTTCCACCGGTCAGAGAGGTAATGTTGCTGTTGACGGAGATGATGTATGCCATGGCGAAAAATGTGGCGAGGCCGGCGCGGATTTCAGTGAAGAAGTAACTACCCTTCCTTTCTCTAGGCTGAGGCATGGTTTAATATCACATTCAATATTGCTGCGATCGCAGAATCACATAGAATGAATGTAGTATCACTTACATGGCCAGAGCCCTCTAGACGAAACCATGTCCCCACGGGACTGCGAGCAACTCGCACGTTGGTTTTGTGAACCCAGTTAGCGAAACCCATTGTGAAAGAGTATCACGATCGTGTGTGGTGGAGACAGCGAATTCCGGGGATGCTGTCGTCTTTAAGACGCAGTATTTAAAGATGTTCCCGCAGTGGAGGTGTGCAGGATATAGGGTCCAAGGGAGAAATAGGGCAAATCTCAATGTGCTCTCTTGGCCAACCACAAGCTGTTGATAAGAAGTCAGCAAAAAAAAATTAGTTTCGCCTCCAAATACAGTTATCTCCGGGGTTTATGCCTTGGTGGGGTCGTGTTTCACCCGTAACCTGCCGTCTGGCCGTCCTCATTGGCTATACCGTTGCCGACAGGGTTTTGTTCAACCCTTCGAAGGTTGTTTGTGAACGAAGAACTCGACAACCAGGTGATGAAAAAAAAGGTCCGGACATTATTTCGAGTCCCTGCAAATCCAACGTGTCCGAATCCACCCTTGGAACATCCAAAAAAGATCTCCATGTGCTTTCGAAAATGTTGCACATGAACATTCCTGCAATGCCAAGACGCCCGCAATGCCAAGACGCCGGGGCGCTCAGCCCTCGTGAGCTGTCTATCTTATCGATTTTCTGTGTGTCGTGTTACTTGGAAAGATGCAGGGTTCTCGATAACGGAGGAAGCCGATGACCTTAATAAGGACCATCCATCGAATATCCCCAGTCTCTTGGCTCTGGGATATCCGGCGGCCATATCCGATCGTGGGCCATCAACGAATCTCACCCGCAGATATCGGATGCGTTCGGTCTGGCACGAATAAGCCTTCATCCATCTGATTTACATCTCGGTACGGGATACAGATTGGCATTTGCTAGCACGGATGTGCTCTGCCAGGAGAAAAGGGGTTGCGTCAGACTAAACCGCTCCGCTCCGCCACGTGAACCACGAGGCACCAGAAAGTCAATTCTTCTGGATATCTCGTGCTGATCTCTTGGATACATGCGGAGTACGGCGCACGGCGTATAGACAGTGCACAGCAGACAGATTATCTTCACGTAGTATCCACGCGTCGTCACCGTTGCTATAGCACAGGGCACGTGCTGGAAGTAATCATGAAGTCGCCTCAACTAGGATTTATTCGATCAGTCTCTTACATAGAGCTATCGCAGCATCTTTGCCATCCATTATGCGCCGCTTAAAGAAGGTGCACGACGTTTTCAAGTTGAAGCATACCGTGCCGAGGGCTATCGTGCAATGCATCATGTTCCACCATCGGTATCAACCCACTGGGAAATGGAACCACGCAATCTTGTCAACCTTGCCAATATATTATCCTCTGTGGAGTGTGACGTGATCAGTAATCTATTCACGCCTCCCGAATGCTGCCATGTCTGTTGGCTCCCTGGATTTAGACCGACAAGAGTGCTCCTGAGTATCTGATGGTGTCTCAAAGCCCCCATGGTCTGCTAGACGATGCCGACCTTCCAGCATTGATTGTCAAGAATGATGATTTAGGTGGAGGTACGGGATTTATTTTTAGATGTAAAATCCCAAGGCGCTCAATGGCCGTCCAAATGGCCCCAATTCCTCTGATCCCGTCACTTGGCCTAGAGTCAAAATCGATATCTGGTCTTTAGACTTGGTACATTGTCTCCTTACTCCACACTCTCCGGATTGCTATTCTAAACTGACGTATGCCAAGTTATTCCACTTTGCCACAAATGAAATACTCTTTGGCCTGGGTGTATATCTACCGAATTGAACGGAGGTTTGATACATCTTATGTTCAACTTTGTTCAGGGTAAGAGTGATCATATCACTGTTTATTCGGATGAAAGACCGCAGCCTGAATTTTGCGTAGATAATCCAGAGAAATTGTCGACTTTCCTTTGGTCAATGCAACAAAACCCACAGGATCGCAACCTATGGCCGGCCTTCTACGGAGTACTTCATCCATTTAAACGAATGACCCACACAGAGACAGTTCAGTGATTAAGGTTACAATTTTTAAAATTCTATGGATTTCATTATTAGCAACAGGGAAATTTTATGTATGAAAATGCAAACGTAAAGGTCACGCCTAAACAGACTCTGTTTTCTCCGACCTTGATGGAAGAGGACGCTCGAAGACTGGAGCGAACTTAGATCTCTTGCGCAACGCAGGTCCGTATTTGATGAATAGCAAGGGAATCGGGATCATGATGAGCGCCAGACACCCAAGAAGTGTGCCGGCCCACTGCACACCCAAGTTGATGAACATCTGCTTCGAGAACAGGGGGAATGCAGCTCCCACCGCCGATCGAATGATAGTATTCGCAGCAAAGACAGATGCGGCACTATTTCAAAGTCAGTATATAGTTCCACGGAAAAAAAACCCCCAGAAGTCATACAATGTCAAATATGAGTCAATCAAGTAATTGAAGCATTGCAGGAAGATGACATAAATGCCGAATCCAGTCATGATTCCGCTGGCTGTGGGGGCCATCCAATGGATTGACTTTGTCCATCCAGTCCAGCCATACCAGAAGAGCCCGATACAAAAGCAAATACCTCCAAGGATGGCGGGAGGAAGTCTCCATTCCGGAATGGGCATGTCATTGTTGGCAGCCAACTTTTTGGTATATGCCCTCTGATCATAAAGGAGATAGGCGCCAGCTAGAAACTCGCCGATGATCAATCCGATGAATGGAAGACTTCCAACACCGAGATTCATTCCGTGGATTCCTTGGAATACAACGGGGTACGCACCGAGAAGCGCGTACATCAGGCCATATACAAAGCTCATCCAGAGAGAGATCTGAGGTAAGGTTAGTTTGGACCGGCTCGAGATATTCACGCACAACTTACCAGGAAAACAATTGGCTCGGTGAAAAGCATGCGGAATGGCCGACTGAAATTGTTCGTGATCAGATCGCCCCAATCGAGCTCGATCTCTTCTTGTCTCGCGCGGATTCCCCAGTTGTGTGTCTGCCGTCGCAGGATGACGGCTTTTTCCACAAGGACAGCGGGTGCATAGGTCTCTTTCAAGAAAAGAAGACAAAGACCAGTGGCCAGCCATCCCATGAAAGAGGAGATGTACATCGTCCACCGCCATCCCAGGTAAGACATGGTGATGAAGCCACCAGTGAATGGAGACGCGAATGGTCCCACGAACACAGCCATGGCGAACATAGCGATAGCCACACCGCGCGTCTGGTTATTCCAAATATCGGCGTACACGGCCGGAACAATAGCGATCGGGCTAGCAGAGAAAAATCCGGCAAAGAATCGCGATATCATCAAAGTCTGGACGTCCTTGCTGGTCGCTGCCGCAATGGAGAAAATAGAGTACCCGAACATACCAACGCAGATCGGCCATCTTCTCCCGATGAGCTCACTTGCCGGTGCCCACACCGTTGGGCCCGAAGCAAATCCCAGAACGTATAGCGTCACACCGAGCACAGCGACTTCCGTGCTGATATGAAAGTGAGCACTGACATGTCCGACCGTGGAGGAGAAGATGGCACTTGCGAAAGACGAAACGAATGTTGTATATGCTAGGGTCACTGATATACCGATTTTGCTTGCGAGGGACCAATTCTGGGGGTGCATAGGATCGTCTGCATCGTTGAATTCGACGACGTATTGTTCCGGGTCTGGGAGTGATGGAGGATGAGGCTTCCCAGCTCCGAGAGGGATCCACTGATCACGCGGTGTGATTCCTATGCCGGAGCCAACAGTTGTGCGATGTTGGAGTCGATAAGTATTAATTCGCTCTAGCTCGACTTCGTTGGGATTGCTTTGGCGATGAGTGAGGCCTCCTGAGGGCATGGGCTCAGCTCCCGACAGACGGCGATCATCAATCGTCGGGATGGTACTGAGGTCATCACTTGCACTGCTGATAGAATCATGTGGGCTGTGACTCCGATGAGACATGCTGAAATGCTGAAGGATACAAAATTCAATTGGATTTCGAAGACGAATTTTATCTAGGGAATGAACATAATATATATGGGAATCGACCAAGCGAAAGATTTGGACCATCTGGTTCCCAGGGATCGGACGGCCATTTTCATCATTTTGATGGTAACTGACGGCGTCATCGAGTGTAGCTTCCCCGGTTGATCCGTCCAAAGTGCTACGGCAGTTTGCAGAGCGGTGTACGATCAGTCCCAACACGGTAATACGCTCCGAGCCCCGGTCGCGAACCATGGTACGATCTAGACATCGGAAGTCTATTCGGCACTTAGGAACAAGATCCAAGATGGGGTATCATAATAGCCACTGTATACCGACGTGACTATTAGCAGTAGACTGGGAGAGTCTGAGAGTCAGTGAAGGGTCGGGGAAACCACCGACAGCGACCCTGCTACTAGTACAGATCTTAAAGTATAGCATCACCAAGAAGTCAACAATAAAGGTGCCCATTTGTACAGAGTAGTATCGGTACTCCGTACCCCAGCTTTCATTCAAGGGTCTGAACCCTTAATTCTAAAAAAAGAATCGCAGAGGAAACAGCTATCTCCCAAGGCAGCTTCCAAATACATGTGGGCTGGAAAAAGAAATTATAATAGAAAGACAACGAATACAAAACCTATACTCCGTATACATTTTCGTTCGCCATAACCGCTGCGCCTTGGCAAACTGGTTTGCTAGTTAGCATAAGAAGAGACTGGATTATGTCTGAGAAAATGATTTTCGGTTCCACTAGGGTTAGAGTGGGGCGAAGCTTGCCTGTTCTTTTCAAGCTCTCATCAAGCAAGCCTATCTACACTTGGAACTGCCCTTAAAATGTCATGCATCATATACAGTTGAGTACGAAGCTGTATGATTGTCTATCCTATGACTTGACGGATCGGCGAGTATCTGCTGTTTGTTTCATTAGATTATTGGCTAGATAACTACGCGAGATATTCAATGTTTGCAATGTTTGCAATGTTTGCAAAGGGGCAGCTATCAATAGGCAGCTTCCCACTTTGCAACTTGCTGCTTCTTTCTCTCCATCTAAGTTATTCTATATTGAATGCACTCTTCTATCTTCGCAAGACCTGGCACGTCACATTAAATCTATTTGCTTAATCTGTCCATCAATCTTGAACATTACCCAGCAAATCAAGTGCCTCTTCTGCAGTAAGATGACTAGAGGGTAAAAATCGCATCAACCCTTGGATCACATGAAGTAGAGGTTTGAGTGTTGGATCGGGTAAACCAGCAAACTTCCGTTCAAGCTTCGAGGTTCCGTAATCTTCGAACAAAATTAGCAACAGTTCTGTATGTGGATCAATTTACTTTACTTACCATCTTCTAGCTCCAGATTATGTCTAGAACTCCTCAGCATTGATTCCCACTTAGCCGGCAACCTCTCCACGAAGCCAATCATCTGGTAAATTAAAATTTCGTCCTCGCTAAGATACCAGAATGGCCAAGTCGTGAATAAGAAGGAATAAATCTACAATTCGCCATAAGTATATTTCCTTCAAAGAAATAATATTAACGTACCATGCAACCTGTGCGCCATAAGTCGACGCGATAATCAAAGTGGTCAGTGAAAATCATCTCTGGTACCCTCAATAAAGCCGGCTGGGCCAGCTTCTGAGGTTCCTATCCTTGATAAAAACTCTCGCCGAAATCGAGGAGCTGAATATCTTCATCGTCCTCGTCTATCTACTCAGTCTATTCTACTGCCTTAATCAGTTGGGCGGGCAATTCATTACCCAGAGGCGTGCTATCAACCCGTTTCAGCGGCTCAATTTCCGGGAATCTAAGAATATCAAAAAGCTGCTCCTCAGTCTGTTTAGACAAATGAGTACAACTAAATGCAATGTTCCGACTACTGATATCTAATGATATATCAGTAAAAAGGTCGACTATAGAAAGGGGAAGCTCCCTTACCTCCGTGGCATATGCCGGCACTGTGAATGAATTTGACGGCTTTTAAAAGCTGCGTAGAAATTCGTAGCACAGTTTCCGAGTCGAGTTCATCGTGAGCCTCATAGTAGTCCGAGAGGACCTTATCAACTGAAAGACCAAGTAATTCAAAAACAAGACATTGGTGGGTTCCGTTAGGGCCTTTATGTATAAAGGCATCAAGCAGCTGAACAATATAGTTTGCAGAAAGCCCTTTCGGAGATTGCCTCTCTAGAATTTTCAAAATTTGTAGCTCTCGCGATATCGGCGAATTTGCGGTCATGATTTTCAAAGAGACCCATTGATTTCGGCTGGCGTGAGATTAGCTAGAAATGAATAAAGTTGGTAGCCCCGTCTTACCGCCCCATACCTGGATGGGGGCGGTAATGCCATCATCCCACCTTGTCAGGGTGGGAGGCACATGAGACGGCTACAGGATAAACTGACTCTCTGTCTTTCGCAAGCCATACTGTGGAAAAGCCACCCCATCCTAACTTGTGATGTATCTTATAACGATCATTTTCAAATGTATCTCCGAGGTTGACTGGATGGTATCCCCCAGGCTGATATTTTGACAATGACTCCTGTGTATAAAGAAGGTTACTTTGGCAGAACAGAGATAGATCCATCTTAGAACGCAAAGCGGATGAGAGCAGGGAGGCATTTGCGATGAGAAGTTGCGATACATTCGGGTAAATTTCACTGCCAAGTTGGATGACTAACCACCCTGAGTGACCAGTGTTTTTGAATTCTACTGTAGAACTGTACGTGCTTTGACAAACAGAGTGAGATCTTGTCCAGCCTCATAATATTGTAATATTGTACAAATCCAGTTAGCCCCTGTCTAGTGTCATACTGGATACCTGATTTACCTTGCCCCAAGGCCCGGGTAACTAACTGTACTGTGTGACAAGGGCTGAATGGATCGACGAATTGAGGCCCCGGTTTTAGGGGGCTGGTTATGAGGCTCATACCCAATCAACTACATTTAAGGGCTGAAGGATCAGTAAATGGCAATCATGGCCAAATGGCATTTTTAGCCTCGCATGACTCAGACAGGATTCCGGAGCCCATTTGCCAACCGTCTAATATTGCTTTGCGCTCATGAGAGTCTAGATCCTTCACGCCCGCTTTAAAAACAAACACTTATTTCTCCTGCATGAGGGGCTGTGTACTCTGTAACCCGTAACGCATAAATTAATAAATCCCCGCCATATCGCTGTTAGGAGATTTTTGGTTTGAGAACCCCCTCAAACTCCCCGACATGAGGCAATTGAAAAGTGCCCCCTACGGAGCTTTACCAGGCGAGGAAAATTACTCGAGACCATCAGAATTCCAATCTTATACGGCAATCGAACTCCCTGAGATCGACGACCAGAAATATCGACCCCAACCCCAACCCCTCAAGGTCTCTCAGTTGGATAGAATTTCTCGTCTAATATGGGACTTGGCTCTTGCCATTGTAGCCTTGCTCTTCACGGTGTTCGGTATATGGGTTTCTTGTATCGATGGAAAACCGGCGGGCCCAGACTCCATGGGCTCCAAACTATTTGAAGTCTCTCAATATGTTAGTTGCCCCAATCCTACACTCGTCCTCAAGATCGTCGAATCTAGCTGACACCACATTTCCTCCCAAAGGCGCCCACTGTATTCCCAGTCCTTTTCGCCGCTATTGCCGGTAGCAGCATCAAAAGTATTGCATCATGGCGCATCCAGACCACTGGAGGAGCGACGATCGGGCTAGTAGAGCAATGTCTCGGCAGCCAGAATATCACAGGAGCCATTCTCACCCAGATCAGGCTGCGCGCGGTAAACTTTGTCGCCGTCTTTACCGTTCTGCTATGGTGCCTGTCTCCGTTAGGCAGTCAAGCATCTCTCCGGGTAATTTCAATCGTCCCGAGTTACCCAGGTAATCCGGTCGAGTTGACTACTTTAAGCACCTTTACTCCGTACCAGTACGGCTACCACCAAATGGTAACGGAAGCCATAACATCGGTCGCTAACCCCATGACTGCCTCCTTGGCTGCGGGTAGGATACTTGCGACCCGCAACCAAGACCTCTGGGGTAACATCCGCCCTCCTGTGATTGAGAATCTCGAGACAAACAGTACGGGTTGGATGAATGCACCCCAAAACAACAACTTGACATACGCGTCTCTTGTCGGCATGCCGGTGATTGGCTTACCCGGCTCCGGCAACACATCATTTACCCTCTCAGGCTCGTATCTATCCGTGTCCTGCCCTGTCTTCGACACAATCCACACTTTGAATTTCACCAATTTCACCGGGTCAAGTGCTCCATCCCCCGATAATGGCGACGATTGTAGCTGGACGAGCGCATGGGGTGGATACCAGTTTATGATTGCCATCTCGGAGCCATGTTCGTACTCACTCAACGCATCAATGACAAGGACTCGAAATGCCCGCAAACTGGTATGGGAATCATGGGATCGCGGTTATGCAGGTGCTATCGATGATAGATCCCCCATAACGCGAGCCATATGCGACATTACGACGACCTATGTCGATTCCAACGTGACATGCGAGAGTTCAGGCGGAAGTCAGTCTACAAACACTTGCAACCTGTCCTCCGTTCGCCGGTCGGTGGATGAATCACATTTCCACAAAAACTGGACTGTCTTCGATCTCAATTTGCCAGGTGATCCCGAGCTTCCGAAAGGCTATAACCACGGATTGTTGGATATACTCACTACCCTGTATCCCTATGTCGAGCAGAATGGCGGTCTACAGCCCTTGATTGGATATTTCATCGACCCTTATAACCCCGTCGTGGACTTCTTCGGCGAGAATCTTATGTCGCCTAAGACCACAACCCCGAAAGTCTTTGGAACGCGTTTATCACAGATCTTCAATTCCGTGCTCTATCTCGGAATCAGCCCCTCGGCATTCACGGGCTCTGTTAACATGACGAAAATCACACAGAAAGGAAGCCAAATCAAGAATACCCCCGTCAAATTCATGGCCAAAAACACCCATCTGCAAAATATCGTCAAATGTGACCGTCCCTGGCTCGCCGTTCTCATTGTTTCTTCAGTGGTTATCTTCTGCTTTGCACTGGTGGGCGCCTATCTCCACCTCATAACGATCGCTCCCGATCTTCTAGGATCGATCTCCGTTGTCCTATTGCAAAATAAGATCGAAGGAATTGTTGGATCTTCTACATGGTCTTCGGATGAATGGTCCAAGAATACGCGAGACACAAAACTATGGCTTGGAGATGTTCAGCCTGAAACTGACGTTGGATGTCTTGCGTTAACCACCGTGGCACAAGATGTTCCTGCTGGTTCAGTGAAGCAAAGACTGTATTATTGAGATGTATGCTGTAGCTGATCAGGAATGACATTCTCAGGGCTCCCAAACTTTCCGAGCTTGGCTTGGTGAGACATTACATGAAAGACTTTATGTTTTTATGTCTTTTTTTTATAATATATACCAGAGCACCAGTTAATAGATTATATTTTTCATGACACGTCACTCCAAGCTACAAAGATACCTAATACAGCTAAGACTGTTCCTTTGCATCTATCCATTCTCCTAGCTACAATACCGTTAATGATGAGATTTGATACTAAAAGGAAATGCCGAAGCTGTATAAGCGGCCGAAACTCATGTCCTATGCTTACTAAAAAGGCTGAAGAGTACCTACTGAAGAGGGGACTCTAAAACTGGGACAGCAGGGGCACTGACAGCCCTTCCTGCAAAACAGGCGTGAGACTAGAGTCGTCACTGGGAGTAGTAGGGTGCTAGAGAGGAGAAAACCATGGGGTGACTACCAAGAATAGAAGTGGAGTGCTGCTTTTATATCACATGACCGCCTGGTCATCCTACTCTGGAATCCCCACTACACTTCCTAAATAGGAAGGTACCGACAGGTGAATGTGCCTTCCAACTCGGAGATGGAAGTCATAACAATAACAAAATCACGTTGCGCGCTCATGGTATTTGATGAAGAGGGATCTCTGTGTACTAGGTTGCCAGTCAGCTCGTCTCTCATATATGCAATTTCATCTTGTGGAAGGCAGGCTATCTGTACACTTGGAGTAGAGAGATTAAGAGAAGCGGAACCTTTCAAGTCTAATGGAAGAACAAGCGAGAAGTGCGGATAAGTGAAGAAATAATTATAGTGGACGTAGTCATTTCATAATTGCTGAGCGTAGTGCAGAAGGAATTGACGAGAAGAAGGGGAGAGAGAATAATGCTTTCCTCTTTTGGTGGGGCCGGATATCAATATCAACACCAAGTGGCAATGAAGGGGAAAAGACCCAAATGCAAGCTTCCTGCTAACAGAACTAGATCAAACACATCTCGACACAAGCAGCAACTTCAGCTAAAATAAAGCAACATATCCGCTCATGAGACATTAGAACCGGTTGAAACCTTCCTTGATATTGTTTCCATCCATCTCACTTATGGGGCTGCTGCCCAGTTCAGCACTCACTTCACCTCCAACCAACTCAACAATTTTGGACCCAGGGGGAGGCCTGAATGGGCGCACGGCTGAGTCTGCTGCCTTCTCCACAACCGCGGTAGTACCACTTATCGATGATCTAGTAGCATCTGCCTCATGGGGCCCATAACCACCATGCTGGTTAGCAACCGCGGCATTCTTTTTGTTCCTCTTTCTGATGAGAACGACAGCGAAAGTGACTATAATGGCAACCGCAGCTACGACGCCAACCACGATGCCTGCAATAGCACCACCGGAGAGAGATGGACCAGAGGAGCCGCTGTCGGAATTGGCTATAGACACTGCGGTGGACTCGGTGGGGGTTGCGGATACCAATCCCGAAGACACAGATGAAGATGTGGATATGGATGTCGTAGCGGATGTAGACGTCGATACCGCGAGTGTAGAGGTTTGGTGTTTGGCATCAATATCCGTCTCAGGCAGGACATCGAAAGCCGCAAATGCTTCACTGGCATTCTTTCTCCATATTCCGCATGCATATCCCGCCCTGGAGTCACACTTGAGGTCGCGGTATATCGAGACACATAGACTAGATCCCTCGGGATCCCAGGTAAAAAGCTTTTCTTTACCAATAGGGGAATTTGTGCAGTTCTGTGAATCTTGGCCGCGGGCGATTTCGGTGGCATTGGTCGCGTTGGTGTAGCGGAAGGTCCATCCATTCACCAGGGGAATTAGGAAAAGTGCATATAATGGTATCATGACGGCGACGTGGGTCTTTTGAAGAGTGAATCCAAGCAAAGGAATTAAACGATCGTTGGGATTGGATTTTTAGCTGTGAACCGTCCGGGAGGGGGAACATAGCAGTAATATATAGACCCTGGTTGCTTATTGAATTTGAAGAGAATAAACCTCGTATTTAAATCAACCTCGTCCGTGGTGGAGTTGTTCTAGCCTACGCTTGCATCCAGTGAAAGTCCCCGGCTTTGGACCCTGAGATGACTGCAGCGGCCGATCTATACTAAGTAGGGAATAGACGGGTGAAACTGAGGAGTTAATGCATATTAACACGGTCTCTGGCGCATCTCCAGGATCGGAGGCCGGACTGGACGAGTATGGATTAGTCGCGTGCGCCGTAGAAAAACCAAACTAACTACTTGCTCAAGAACTCATAACATATAACAGTAACAGGTTGAAACCGTTCTGACCTCGAGTTATACTAACGACCTTCATACAACGGCTATATGGCCTGAATACTACACCATGCGACTCAATACGTATCTGACACTTGGTGGCTGACCATTTCCGAGAATACGGGGTACAGCAGTCCTGTGCTGATACTTCCTACCATGCTTGTCAGAATCATAGTCTAAATCCAAACGCTTTTTGCTATTTCTGTTCACATGCTGCGACTAAGGTCTCGGCGGGCAGCCATCTTGTCCGTGGAGAATGATGATTGGTGCCCTATGTGCCGAATACGAGGTGAAGAGCATGCGAAAAATTCAGACTGTAAACTAGCAGTTTGTCTGCTGTATTGTAAACAAAGACAAATATAATGAATGGTCATATCCGTAAGGCTGCACATAAGGAGTTTGTTGCTATATTGGGTCATTCACGGCCCGGGGCATCATGAATAGAGAAAAGAAAAACGCACCCAGTCGCCAAGAGTCACGGACCGATAATGCTTGGTGCCAAGGGTCTAGTATGACTAAGTTTAAGTAATTTCCACTTACTTAACTCCATAGGGCTTCTCCTCGGAAATTATGATCCAAATCCGTTCTAGTAGCAGCAAATAGACGATCGATATAGAGCGTATTATTAGGGCCCTTCGGTAGACCATTTCAAAATATTCTCGGTGTATAAAAGCATACAATATAGCAATGTTCATGACTGTATTGAATCAAAATTGAAATCACTTACCCATAAGTGGATGAGATGTTTCCCTTCGGTGAAGGCTCCGAGCTAAGACTCAAATGCCTGAGGTATTACAGGATATACCGTTGTGTCGGACATCCGAATCAACAGCAACATGTTTGTGTGAAGTTTTTCCGTAATTTCCCCGGAGATGAATTAAAGATCATACTAACATTGAAAGTTGTCAATAAATATCCCGAATGGTTTTTGCTACCGCATATGACGTCAAAACACAGTTTCAAAGGTATGATGCTCACAAAGTCATCGCTGGAAACGATACTTGATTATCATTACTCTCAAGCTTGGGGACGAGAATCATGCAGTCGACTAGAAGGCCAAGTATTTGATTTTCTTCATGTATACGTATGATAGACATCGTGGCCCCATTCTCCCTTGTCCGGTTGTCATCAGGCACCCGACGAGCCGAGCGTAGAGTATGATTGAAAGGTGACGCAGCGGTGCCGGTAAGGCCCCGGGGGTGTCCAGACTTGCTATTTTGTGAGTAGCTGTTGCTCTGCCACATGTGGTTATTTTTCAGCATACTTGAACACTTGCATGCGAACTCCTTACATGCGCAAGATCTGTAAATAGCAATTGGTCTAAGTACATTGATCTTGCAGCTCAGCATGAGACTATAGATGTAGGATAAGCTTGTACCTCGACATCGGAGCTCTACGGATCATCCCTTCTGGCATCTTAACTCTGCTAATTGCAATAGCCACGGTAAAGAATCGACAGGGATCCAATCAAATCGGGAGCCTGTCTTAACTTGGAGGTCAGTTAAGCATAATGAAAGGTAGGTACCAGGGCACTCGCATCATTGATTGGCAATGATCCTTGTCCGTCGTTTGCCGGAGGTTCCTCTAATGATCGAAAATCATCCCGGTGAGCCTGATCACTTGTCTCAGAATTCTCCCGACAAGATCACTGCCGTCTGCTGGAGTAATAGTCGAGCTTTCTATTGCAGTCTGAATTCCACTGTGGTCTCAGTCCGTCTTCAGAAGTTTTGTCATTCGTGTGACAGTAGGTGTCTCCCCCGTGCTATTGATATTATTTGGTCGTTTCTTTCCTCAGCTCTCCTCGGTCATTCCATTGATGTAGTTCTGATACAACGAGGTGTGAACCGTTGCTGAATGTGTTCTCTATAGTCAGTCATCGATTGATATCGCCACAAAGCCGCAATATCTAGTAAGAATACATGCTTCAATCGTGGACTGTTCATTGAATGAGGCAGCCGATGAGTCCATTGTCTGACCAGGAACTGATATGTGAAACAGAAATCCACTTCTGACTTACCACCGATACTATGGCACCAACCAAAATAGTCCATCACACCAAGTCCGCATCCCTCTCTCTCCATTCAATTGTCGAAAGAAGCGGCCACAAGGGCAACTGGGCGAACAGGAATCGCGGGGTGATCCTTGTCTTCTGCATCGTTTTCCTCGTTGTGATGGGAATCATGGCACTCTTTGCATACCGACGAATGTTAAGACGGAAAGCTGAAAAGGAGTCCTATGAAACGACGAGTGATTAGTTTATCACACACTCTGTGCTCTCGCTACACCAATTTCCATTCAACTCGATGGTGGACGACCCTGTGTGTTGTGTTAAATTTGAGCTGTTGTGATGGGCTGTTCAATGCTGTTTTGTTTGTTTGTGTCTACGTGATGAGGCTGGTACTGAATGGGATGCCTATTGGCAGTTCAGTTGCGAGAGAATGGCATGGATGATGCTCAAATGCGAAAAACATAAATTATTTAAGAGTTAAGCATCAATAGTAATCAATAATACGTTCGAGTTGGTTTCACTTGCAAAAACTACTACCGCCCTCTCGGTCATTCCTGCAGTTGCAATGTGCACCTGCAACTTGTACAGAACTTGACTTTTCCCAATGACACCCATTCTCATATGTGAGACCCTTTACTTCTCTAGATATTTTCTACAGACAATCACCATTATTTGTCCCATCGCGTCAGATTCTTGAGATGAAATTATGGGTTCAGAAGCAGGCCCGTCTGGTGTTCATCCAACCGATGAGAAGGGAAAGAGAAAACGACCCGAGTCGCCCGCTCAAGACCTAACATCTAAGAAGGTTTCACTTAAGGTGAGAGGAGTCGCTGCTGTCAGAGAACCACATATTCACCCCGAGAAGCAGGAAGAGGATCATCTCCTGGACTATGTTGACACATGTCCCAAGGGGATTTCATCTCAATATCCAAACCCTGTGAATATTGGTGGTACGGTGAGAAAATAGAAACTCTTCCCACGCGGCAACAGCTAACATCGAAGAGAAAAGTCACCGTGGCCAATTGAAGCAAGTGCGGTGAATTATCCCACGTTCGATGACCTTGGCAACTTCAAAAAGTTCGTACGTGATTCCCGTGATGAGGCAGAGCTTGCCGTGTATCTTGGACTGCAGCATAAACACGACCTCAGGCAATTCGCTTTTTCCTGGCCTGTCATCAAGGCGTGGATCAGAGCACCGCATAATCAGACTATCTCGCTGAAATCGGAGATAAATCATCTCATCAAGGGTGGCAAAGAACTATCCTGTATCGAAGATCCTTACCAAGTTTGGCCGCAACTCCCCGAGGAGTCAGAGGAGGATGCTTCTTTGCGAATTACACACATCATGGCATGGCATCTAGTTCAGATGTCTAAGGATATTGAGGAGTACACCATGAGCAGTGATCTGCATAACTTCCACCGCACAAGGAGATACCGCGGTGAACTAAGCGCGATGTTGGAGCTCGATATCCCGCTGGACAACATTTTTCATCCTCGTCCCCAGCTAATATCTTAGAGGAACAAGCTGGACGACAAATTCGATCGGTACTGGACAATCTTGGGGTATGTTTCATGGATTCCCTATATGGAGTCCTGGGAAAAAGCCCTTGAGTTTTTCGCCTCCTCAGAAAACAAGGCTACCATATACGACAGCAGGATGCCGACAAAGACGAGACCAAGACCCAACCATCTTAAGTTGGCTCAGCAGTGCTCCTCCTCTCTATCCTTGGACAGAAGTATTGAAGGCCTTTCTCCAATTCAGGTAAAGGTAAATTGGGACATGGACCAAAACACATATGAGAACATGAATCTGTGCCAAGTCCTCGCAGGTATCGCTCATGAGGGTAAACTGCTCCCTCCGATGGATCAAATGATGACACAAGACCCTCGATCATGCAGGACTGGTGCATCATTCCGGGACATAATTCGACATATGATGTCTTGTGGTGGCTATGCATTGAATTTGTGTGATATGACGTTGTCGTATCAAGCGGAGATGGATAACTGCTATTATCAGATCGACGCTTTCCGATCACAGTGGAAGATACTTCAGGGGATATTTTCAGACCCGGCCAACTCGAATTTTGTGATTCGGGTGCTTCTGGATGTCCATGATTTCCGGAATGGGGATGTTTATGAAACGACCGAACTACCACCGGTGTATTGAATACAACCTCTCGATCTCAACCTGTGAGGAGTGGCTTTTACTGAGGATCCTTTAGCAGAAGCACTCGCTTCGTCTTTGGTTTTGTCTGTGACTTCCATTGTTATTGACTCATTCATCACCTAGTCCTTATTATGTACAAAAATCTAGAATAGCATCCTTTTACATATCGAGAAACTGGCCGTTGGGGCTCCAGTTCTTTACTTTTTTGATACTGGCTTGTATGCTGTAAACATTTAGGGGTGCTGACGGAAAAACGGTGGTAAGGCGAATGTATATGTGGCAGAAAAATCTCAATAAATTCTCTAACTCTCTAAAAATGACAATAGTCCTAAAACATGACAATCTTGTGGACAACTTAGTAATCAAAACAAACAAAACAAAATGAAAGGATGTTTTTCGGGCGAAAAACCATCCTGGTCAGTCACGTGACCCAACTGTATCAGGGATGAAAAATGACAGTATTCATCCTAGATTCTGACAGGTGCTTTTATGTGGAGCACTTGTGAAATGTTCAAATTATGCATGAAGATGAACTAGATGATACAATCCATACATCTCCCGCACTTATTGGGGTAAATTCGGACCCAATATGTACATTTCATACGACAATTTGACGGAGATTTTGACGTTAGAATACAATATAAGCTCGTATACCTCTCGAGGTCTACAAAAGACATCATCGCAGATAGCCCCACAATAAATACCGCGGGGAACTTTGAGATTTCCTTCCCACGCGTCAATTTCTTTCTCGCACGCGTTGATGCTAACAATCTCGATGGGATCTCCCGACCAAATATGCGCTTCTTTGCGCGCCCAGATTATTGTGGCAGAAGCACAACTTGCTGGGCTCAAACGCGACCTTGCAAACGCCGAACAAGCGGCGCGATCGGAGACCGCAACGATTGCAGAAACCCAGCATGAGGAGGACCAGAATGGCGAAGAAAGACGATGGCCATTGCTTCAGGAAGAATATAAGCGATATGGGCGACAAATGATTGTTTCGCAAGTTGGTTTGAAAGGTAAGATACGGCTACGTTTCGGCGGTTGGTTTGAGCAGTAGGACTGATGGCAATTTCAATTAACCACAGGTCAACTTAAACTCCGATCGGCCAAAGTTCTGCTCGTTGGAGCTGGGGGTCTGGGATGTCCAGCTGCGCAGTATCTCGCTGGTGCTGGTGTTGGCACCATTGGACTCATCGATGGGGATACAGTCGAGGTGTCGAACCTCCATCGCCAAGTGCTACACCGAACGAAGAATGTGGGAAAGTACAAGGTTGATAGTGCGATTGAGTCTTTACGAGAGTGAGTGGATCCGGATAGGAGTACTGAGCTCGGCGCTGACGACTTCTTGTGGCATTCACCAGACTGAATCCTCATCCCACGTATATTGCCCATCGCACACATCTCGCACCTGAGGAAGCACCTACGATATTCAAGGACTATGACCTTATTCTCGATTGCACAGATAACCCGGCGACGCGTTATCTGATCTCGGACACTGCAGTGCTTCTTGGAAAACCATTGGTCTCTGCGTCCGCTCTGCGCACCGAGGGCCAGCTGATGGTGTTGAATAACCCGCCCCGACCACCGGGCGACAAGACTGGAGGGCCATGCTATCGATGTGTGTTCCCGAAACCGCCACCGGCTGATAGCGTGGTCAGTTGTGCAGATGGAGGTATTCTGGGGCCGGTTGTTGGGACGATGGGCGTTCTACAGGCCCTAGAGGCGATCAAAGTTATTACTGCACCTGAGGTTGATGGAGGTTCAAATTCGACGACATCTTCTCCACGGGATCCCCCGTATCTCCATATCTTCTCTGCCTACTCATCGCCCCTATTCCGCACAATCCGTCTTCGTTCTCGCCGGGTCAACTGTGCTGTGTGCTCTGCCGAGCCAACGGTGACACTAGATACAATCAGGTCAGGTTCAATGGACTATGTATTCTTTTGTGGATCCGCAAATTTACCCTCGCTACTTGGTCCCGAGGAACGTATCTCTGCCCGAGAATACAATCAAAGACACCCGAACGTCACCTCCTATTCGTCACAGCTCTACACCATAATTGACGTCCGAGACGAAACTCAGTTCGGAATCTGCAGTTTGCAGAATAGCATCAACATTCCTATCTCGAACATCCTTTCCTCAAGTTATCCCACTGCGTTACAAAAGGCTGATGATGAGCAACAAGCTGCGCAAGTACCTTCTTGGCTACCGTCCGAGGTTGCATCATTTGAGTCTACAAACCCAATCTATGTCGTATGCCGTCTAGGAAACGACTCGCAGATTGTCGTCAAGAAAATGAAAGAGTTAGGACTAGATCAGCATGGGAAGAGATTCATTGGTGACATTCGCGGAGGACTCCGATCATGGAAAGAACAAGTGGATTCCTCGTGGCCCGAATACTAACTCAACCAGCCCGCTATATTCCCACGCGGAATCTCTGTCCAAAACTCATATCTTGTCCTGGTTTTACCCATCAGCCAGCCTCCAGGGTCCATCCGCCTCACAGTCAATGATGTTGTGAGGATTACCACATCATGGCTCTATCTATATCCACCACCAATCAGTGTGAACGCGACCCTCATCGAGGTTACCGAGTGTCTCGAAAACACCACGGCTGACGTCGATGTCAAACTCATCACATCCCTCACAGCGATCTACTAGAGTGACATCAATACCCCTGTCACCCCGTTGGATGTGGATCAACCTGCCACAAAGTGGATTGTGGTTGGGGTTGCCGTCTACATTCGCGCGGTCAAAGACAACACGAGAGACGGCACAGATGTGGTCTCCCCCGTTATTAAACCAGCCGCAGGATCCAACCCCGGTCTCATACCAGGTTAGATCACCGTCAAATGCCTGGGTTGAGACGGGACTGTGTGTGTTGTTCCGCTGGCTAGGACTTGGATCAGAGTTAGCATGGACCTCGATGGATCGTGAATGTTAAAACAGGAAGAGGAATCAAAAGGACGGGCAAGTCCGGGTCTGTTTACTCACTCGCCGAGATCATGAGAAGTGATGCTTTCATGAGGATCAACGGGAGCGCCAATAGCCAATCCCATGAAGAGGAATGCCATCATGGCAATGTCGAAAATTGGGCTGGATATCATTGTCGGGCCGTCTCCTTCTTCTTGCTTTCCAGCAAAGACAGTGGTTTTGGCAGTAAATCTGAAACTGAAGCAGGGAGGTTTCAAACAGCGGCCGAATTCGCTCGGTCTTTATATCATTTCTTTCCAGGAAGAGTTCTTATGCTCGGACAATGTGTGTACTTACGCTCATCTAAATCCCGCGGAGTATCAGAGGCAAGAGTAAAGAAATCGATCGGAGTAACTTGAATGGCGGAGTGAATGGAGTGTTTTGATGGAATTGTAAGGCTGTCGCCATCTGTATATCGGAAACAGAGCAGCATTGATTTTGAACATTGTCGTTTATTTCATTATATCCATTATTTGGCGCAATCTTTCTTTCAAAATCTCCTATAGAGACCATTATCCAGACCTCAGGACATTTTCAAGCTTATAATGTACGAAAAATCGGAAGATCGGAGGAAGCAACATAACCCTAAAAGGAGGGATACACTCGGCGATTCATTCGGCATAGAAGACACTTTAGATAGTTAGGACAACATTAGGCCTAGTTCCTTGATGTGTGGTCTACCTCTACGTTCCATATAAGTAAGTCCTTAAGATTTACCACCTTGAAGCAGAGCTGTTATATGTCTTCCCTGATTAATATCTACTTGGGTACTACTTTGATTCTACAAGAGAAGAACTTTGAGAAAGATCGCAAAAATCTGGAGCAATTTCAAGTTTGGAGGTTCCACCATCTACCATTGTCAGTACTTTGTATTCACTTCACGGCGAAAGTCGACGGTTTTCGCGAATTCGCGCCATATGGCCTGCATACCTTCGGCCTCAATCCCGAAACCGTGGGTAGCCGGGGGCAGATACCGGATGGCAGACTGATCCATAGGGTTATAACTAATGCCATCAGCTAGATGTCTGGGATAAAAGCGGAAGATGCCAAATATAGCAATGTTATTGAGTCTCTCTGACGAAGCTGAGAGAGTCCACGGGTAGCTAGCCTGACTAGCCAAGCATCAGCCAGGCACCAATAAGGCACTAACATACCAAGTTTAGTTATGCGGAGTGCATCCTCCTCCCCCACATATGGCAGCCAATCACACCAGGGCGGGGTGTACTGCAGGATCGGCATTTCAAACCGACTCCTTTGCTCTTTCGCATTATTCAACTAGACCTGGAGGTTTCTCCAAATCTGTCACATTTCCTGAACTCTCCCATTTTCCCCCATTTCTCAGATCCATTATTCTAAAGTCACGTGGGTGATGTCAAAACAACGCTCCTGAAGATTCGGATCTTTTGTTTTTGTTGCTGAGCCGAGGCCACTGTGTGACGGCGGTAAACATGGCGAACCCTCAAACTCATCAGTCGGGCTCATCCTTTGGGTCGATGCCGTCGCAGCAGGATGCGCAAGATGATACAAGCAAGAAGAAAACGTTATTCTTCGGTTTCGTCAAAAAAACATGGCAGAAGACGGGCTTGGACAGACCCACCATCCTCTTGATGATGAAGTGAGTTCAGGACCAAGCCTGCAATATGCCGCAGTTGAAAATCTCTAACAGCCACTATAGGGGCGGTATTCCACCAACTATAGCCGTTTCTATGTGAGTTACCAACCTCAGAAGTTCCCGGTCTGTCAGAATCAGTCTAACCTTTAGTCCAGCTACCAATCCATGGCTGTTGCCGACGAGTACACGACTTTAGGCTATCTCGTGGCTATCGTCTCGATTCTAGGCTTTGCGGTCATGCCCCGCGCAAAGTTTATCCAAATGATGATCTTTGACCTCTTGGCTGTCTCCATCGCAGCATGTTTCGCCCTGTTGACAATGTTCTCCAGTGTCCGGGCGCGCCAACACACCGCTACTGACTCTACTGATCCATACAATTCTTCCGCGTCCGCTGTTAGTTGTTTGTGGCTGTTCTTTCAAATCTGGATGGTTCACACCTTCCGCGCCAAAAACCCACAGCTGCAGTTCCCCGTGATTATTTACGCGATTTTTGCAAATATTGCTTCGGTATACGCGCCGCAAATGAAGACTATGACAGCTGCGTTCAGTATGGTGAGCCAATTGCTTAAAGCCTTCATTACTGGTCTCGGTATTTCAACAGCGACGTCGCTGTTGATCCTTCCTATGACGTCACGGCAGGTCGTCTTAAAACAAATGGCGAGCTACATTGGCGGGCTTCGCTCGGGCTTGCATGCTCATGCTCTATACTTTCAATCATTGGAAAGGGATGACATGTTCGGTCGCACAGAGACCTATGATGACGCCCGTGAAAAGTTTGGCAAGAAGGGAAAGGTCTACAGTCCCGAGGCAGAAGCAATCCGTGGTGCAGTCCGACAGATCACGGATATCCACGCCAAACTCCACGGCGATCTCACATTTGCGAAGCGTGAGATCGCATTAGGGAAATTGGGACCAGACGATCTTCAGGCGATCTTCCGTCACCTTCGCCAGATTATGATCCCGGTTGTGGGGCTGAGCTTCGTGGTGGATATCTTTCAGCGCATGTCAGACTATAACAGATGGAATAAGCCCATTGATTTAAATGAGCCTGTAGTCCCGGAGGATGTCCGACGGCGGGTTGTGCATGAGTGGAATGAGATCATGAGGGCGGTACACGATCCCTTCGCTGTAATGATCCAAACTATTGACGAGGGATTACTGCATACGTCGTATGTTTTCAGGCTAACAAAGACCCCCAAACGCAGAGCTACAGCGAAATCTGAAGATGACAATTCAACGGAGCAAGACAAAGATGTGGAGGCCAGAGCCGAGAACACTGCTCCTGGGGAAAAAGCATTTATCGAGTATTTTGAAAAGAAACTTGGCGAATTTGGGAGTGCAAAACGCCTTGCTTTGCAGACATGGGCCGAGGAGAAGGGTGTCACACTCCCGCCCGACTTTTTCGACAACCCTGCTTCTGCTGAAATGCCGACCGCCGATTTGTTGGATGCATCAGCTACGCAAAAAGAGCGAAGCCAGCGGCAGCTGTATCTATTTCTCTACGTAAGCCTTCGTTGACCACCCGCTCAATATGCTCGAAGCTAACATACACTCAGATGGAACAATTGCTGTACTCCACCGGTCAAACTGTGCTTGACTTTGTCCGTTATGCCGATCATATTCAGGCGAAAGGGAAGCTATCAAAGAGTCGACTCATCATTCCTGGTGGTAAGCGCGTGTGGAAGTGGGCCAAGTCCTTTTTGAATCCGGAAGATCACGAAGATGATAATATGGGTGACATTCATACACAAAACAACATCCTCCAGCTTGGAGAGGCGTATAAACTTCGTAAAGACCCCGAGCACCTGCCACCGACTACTCGTTTTCAGAAGATTGGGGACAAAATTCGTGTCATTCCATGGTTTCTGCGCTCGTTCGAGTCGACTTATGGCTTCCGTGTCGCATGTGCCACCATGACTATTGCAGTCATCGCCTTCCTACGTGATACCCAAACCTTCTTTACTGCGCAAAGACTAGTCTGGGGTTTGATCATGGTCAATCTCAGCATGTCTCCCACCTCGGGACAGAGCATTTTCAGTTTCGTGTTGCGGATTTTGGGTACATTCCTTGCAATGGTAGCCAGTCTTCTAATCTGGTATATCCCAGGTAAAAGTATACCTGGAATTATCGTTTTCCTGTTTATCTTTGTCTCCATTGCCTTCTACATCCCCATCAAGATGTTCCGCTTCCGGGCTGTGGGGATGATCAGCATCATCACGACAACCATGATCGTTGGTTATGAGCTTCAAGTTCGCCGAGTCGGGGAAGCGGTCGCGACATCCAATGGACAGACCTTTTACCCAATCTACCTCTTGGCACCTTATCGGCTAGCTGTTGTGGCGGGCGGTATCGCTGTCGCATTCATTTGGACGTTCTTCCCATATCCAATCTCCGAGCACTCAGTTCTCCGTCAAAGTCTAGGAGCATCGTTATATCTTCTGGCGAACTACTACTCTATCATTCACGAGACAGTCTCCGGTCGCATGCGTGGTGACGAGGGCGAACGTTTACTCAAGACCTCTCCGGGTCGCAAACTTGAGAAAGCGCGACACAAAGTGTTCGCAAAACAGATGCTTATGCTAGCCGGTTTACGGACATACTCTGGATTCCTTCGATGGGAAGTCCCGGTCGGTGGTCGGTTCCCAAAAAAGCAGTATGATTCGATTATTCTCTGTGTAGAAAAGTATGTTATGTGCCCCCACGGCCTTTCTACGTACTAACAGTCCTTATTTTTCTAGTATCGTGAACTACCTCAGCTTGCTAGGCTACGCATCTGATACCATCATGTATCTCGGTGACGGCGACAATCCTACAGATACCGCCTGGATGACCGATTTTCGACGGCTGTTCAATGCTGCTAAAGTGACGACCCACGAGGTCACATCTTTGCTTTGCCTTCTTTCTGCTAGCATTACAAACCGTCAGCCTCTACCGCCGTATCTCAAAGCACCCCGTCCGTATGGCTTCGCGAACCGCTTGAATGAACTTGACAGTGAACTTCTAAGCCTCCGGCACATTGCGGAGCCGGGATTCGCGGCTTTTGCAGTTCTACAGATCTCGACCCGTTGCATTGTCGGTGATATGGACAGATTACTGCGGTAAGCTTCTAATAGAAATTCCTTTGTTAAACCAGGCCGGGCTTGCTAACAGTGCTATTCATTCTAGGCTTGTCAAGGGCTTAGTGGGCGAATTAGACTTCTCTTTCCATGCTGTAAGCACAGGAGAGTCAATGGCTGAGTCGCGAGTGACTTCTCGGGTGGGATCAAGGGTGGATTTGAGCGGGTACGCATCATCACAACCTGATGATCGGCACAAGAACGATTGATGTATTTTTTTCCTTTTTCGTCTCTTCATGATAGGCAGCTTTTCTGTACATACATATCTGGACGTGGCATGTACATAATGAGATGGCGGACATCATTATATCATTCTTTATCAACGGAGACTCGTACAAATCACCGCGGTTGATTTCCCCCTCAACAATACCCCGCAATATGCTTCCCCGCAGTCGGATCAACATCACCACATACCCCGACTTGCAAAAGACGCTCACTTTTCTTTTTTCCTTCTCAATTGTCGTGCCTCCATGTAAAAAAAAAGCAAAATGATTGAAGTCAAAGTCGACCAAGCTCTCTTCTCCCAATCTGCCGGTAAAACAGTCCTAATAACCGGTGCAGCCCGCGGGATCGGAGCCGCAACCGCGATCCTATTCAACTCTCACGGGGCCAATGTCATTCTCGCCGACCTCCCGCAGCTGCGAGACAGCGCCGAAGAAGTCATTCAGAAACAGATGGAATTCCCAAACCGCGCAATATTCGTATCTACCAATATCATCAATTGGGCAGAGCTAACAGCATGCTTCGAAACGGCGATTACCACCTTCGGAAAGCTCGACATCGTCATAGCAAACGCGGGTATTATGGAGTCTGAGGCGGTCCTGGACATGGACAACGTGGATGCGAACGGACGTCTTCTCGAGAGCCTGGAGGCGGGGAGGGTAATTGATGTCAATCTAAAAGGAACATTGAACAGTGAATTACCCCGTCATTTTCAACCTTCAATCGCAAGTTGAAACACAATTCCAGCTGGCTCACATGCTGACAGCATGCCTCCTCACTTAAAATAGCTCTCCGTTTGGGACTACACTATACAAACTGCTCCACATCAACCACAACAAGCCCCCAACCGACAAAGTCAATCTTGCTAGTTGCATCTACATCGAGTTATTTCGGTGGAACCGGTGTAGCCGCCTACGTCGCGTCGAAGCATGGCGTGCTGGGTCTTCTACGGGCGTGTCAGAATGTTGCGCGCGTACACGGCGTCCGGGTTAATGCTGTCGCACCGTTTTTGACACCAACCCATATCACGGCGGGCTTTGCGCGCAAATGGGATGAGGCTGGACTTGAGAAGAATACCCCGGATCGAGTTGCAGATGCTATTGCGTTTATGGCTTTGGATGACAAGCGGGAGGGGGAGTGTGTTTTGGTGAGAGATATCTATTGCAAGTAAGGAACTGGCATCGTGCTAATTCGCTTTCGGTTCGCTTAGGTTGCCGGTAAGTACCTCCGAGAGCTCGAGGGCCCAAGGGCAAAGCTATTGCCTTCGTGGTTGGGGGTGGATCTTATGGAGTTTATGGGTCAGGCCATGCAGTTCTTTGTTAGTATTGGGGGATATGTCTTGCCCAAGAAGTATTAGGGGTCACTCTCTCTTGCATCGCAAGGCAACATAAACACGGTAACGGCCCTACTAGACTTCAGGGTGGCATCATAGAGGGCCATCCACATCAAGGTTCATGCTGTGTCGATTTGCTTTGCGCATCTACTATTGTTCCATGTACTGGCACTCGAAGGTAAATCGGGGTTGTGTGATCCCCGACTTGAAGTACCTACAGTAGCATTATGCCAATAATCTGACCAAGAAGACCTGAGAGGAATAAATGTGAACTTTCAATTGCGAGTCAGGATTGTCGTAGCATGTGACTCCCTATCACTAATTACTATTAAATTACTAGGTGCTTTTCAGATCTCTGAATCTATGCCTTCACCAAATAAATCACCAAATAAATCTGAAGCCAAAGGTATAGCCTAGCGTTTCCCCGAGAATACAGCTTATTCTACATGGTGCCCTTCAACAACACATTTATACATATAATTTGGGCAGTGATATGACCACCCCCCCTTGGATCTGACCACCCCCTCTGCCTGAATTTTCAGTCACCGCCTTCTTAATTTGGATACCGCTTTTGTAAATAATATTAGACCGCAGAAGTTACCGCTTTGTAATCTTTTCTGCAGCAAAATAAGCTCTGCACTTTCCGGCCGAAAAGTCATACAATAGTATAAGACGGGAGATACCTGCAATTTGTATGTAAGCCCCTAGCAAAATTAAGTCACTTTTGTCACCTCAAATTTTGTACCTATCCTTCTTGTAAACTATACAAATGGTAGCTCGGGGAAGGAGCGAAAGTACAACTACGTATGGTAATCAGTTTGCAGGATCAATTTGTAGGGTAGATCAATATAGAGTCAATGAAATGTACCATTTTTTCTGATCAAAATGTATGTCTTTTTTATTTTTACTATATAAACCAGAAATGGGCAGAATATATGGCAGAAAAGAAAAACAAAGTTTGGAAACATGACAGAATTATGGGTGGTACCTGATTAGGAAGGCGGTGACTGAAAATTCAGGCAGCGGGGTGGTCAGATCCAAGGGGGGGTGGTCATATCACTACCCTATAATTTTGCGATACAACGAAGATCATATCACAAGTTAGGTTTGGCCCGAATTCTCATCCACGAATAGAAAAACTCCTTACGTCATTCACGGAATGTTCATTCACCTAGTTATATCACATCACGACAGCCAACAAGGGGTGAGGACGCTGGAATGCCAAACCGCAGTATGGTCCTGGCGCCCTTTAACCCATCATTCCTAGGGATCAGGCTCTGATACTATTCCGCGATAGAGGGTTTGAATAACGGAAGACCCAAATTTAGGACCAATAGCAATGGAGTTACTATGTATCCCTTCTTTTGTGGAATCTGCCTAAACGTCTCCATTGCAGGTTTCCCGACGACGAAGGGGCGGACGGGGACCTCCTATTACACAGCTCTTCTATCCCACGTTAATTGTGGGTAAACCATATAATTGGAGCTATGAAGTTCCCTGCGGGAATTTCTGTTCAGTTTCGATTGATGCCGCAGTCGACCTCAGAAACCACAATATCCAGGTCCCCGCGACGAACGACAAGTATATATTCTTGCAAGAATACTTTCGACGGCCAAGATCAAATCAAATGGGACGCCGTTCAATAGCCGAGGAAATTTACGATAATGAGTCGAAAATCAACTTCGGCGTACCGGACAGCGTCCGAAGTTTGGACGGTATGACACAAAACCCAGCACTGGGGAGCTCAATTCAACTGTTCGAGAGCGAACCCTCAGCCGAAGAACAACAAAGGCGATTCGAAGTGCGAGAATGGTTGGTCTTTATCTGTATCGTGATCCTGGCAATGATGGATTCGTTCAATGCGACAATTTTGATCCCAGCCTTGCCTGTATGTCACATGCAATACACCCGTGTCATTTAACATCTATAATAGAGCTGATCAAACCCTCAATCTAGGACCTTGCAAACAAATTTGCAGAGCCACTAGCAAGCACATTCTGGGTCAACACGGTATACCTCATTTTCAGCGCAAGCAGCCAACTCTACTTCACAATGATGAGCGATATTTTCAACCACGGGCCCATATGGATCATCGCCGTAGTCTTCGCAACAATCGGCACAGGAATCTGCTGCGGCTCAATGAGTCTCGCGGAACTAGTAGTTGGCCGCATGGTTCAGGGTATTGGCGGCGGCGGCGCAATGAGTCTGTGCTTCGTGGTAATGACCGATACGGCGCCTGAATCCATGCACTCGCGGTATTCATGTTATATCCTGCTAACGCGAATGTGTGGCGGCATTCTCGGTCCCGTTATCGGCGGCTTGTTTGTCGATTATACAGACTGGCGGTGGGCATTTTATTTCAACTTTATTTTCTGCGCGCTGGCTTTGCTGGCTATTCCGTTTGCTGTGGACCTTCGCGCATTGAAGTATATCCCGATGCGTAAATTGCGTGTTTTGGATTGGACGGGTGCTACTTTGGCCCTTTTAGGTCTTGGGGCTCTCCTAGTTGGCCTTTCTTGCGGTGGGACCTCCTATCGCTGGAAGGACTGGCAGACGATTGTACCTCTTGCGGTGGGCGTTGTGGTCCTTCTTGTGCTTCTGCTTTATGAGTCCAAGTGGGCTCTGTGTCCACAGTTCGGGAAGAGAGTGTTTCGGTCGAGGATGATGACTATGACACATCTAGGGTGCTTTTTGCATGGTTTTGTGGTTAGTAGACGTTTTCCTTGCATTCGGTTCGTGTTGTCTGACATCAGTCTAGGTCTTTGCTCACTTGCAATTCTTCCCATTATACTTCATTTCCACTCATTATATGTCCGCCACTTTGTCAGGCATCACCTTGCTAGCCATGGTGGGGCTTGCAATTGCGCCAGCCTCGGTGGTTGGTGTCATCCTTGCGAGAGAGTTAAGATGCACCCAGTGGATCATCTCCGGTGGTTGGGTCTTGACTTCCCTTGCGAGTGGATGCTCTATCCTTTTAGATAGCTCCACGCCGACCGTAGCGTGGATATTTTTGCTATTCACAGCAGGCCTTGGGCATGGTCTTTTGCTTTCGAGTTACAATGTTCGCATCCAGAATCTGCCTAAAGACAAGGATGATTCCCTGCCGACTCTACCAACAACCATGTCATACTACATGCGATCCTGGGGTATGGCGGTTGCGGTCCCTACTGGGGGAGTTGTGCTATTAAACCGCTTCGCCAATGGACTTGGCAGTGTTGAGATGAATCGAGACATAGTAAACTCTGCCAACGGATATCTCATTCTGATGAAGGATGTGAGCATGACAAGTAGACAGAGAGAGGCGGTTACAATTGTTTCGGTCGCGGCGTTTCAAGCGGTATGGGGTCTCATCACGGGTGTGGCTATCCTCGGGGGAATTTCATCTGGTTTCCTGTGGCGAAAAAACTGAATGTGAATAATATATGTGTCAGAATTAGAGGACATTGGATTTGTCGCAATACGGACATATTAGAGTAGCACGGAAAGCTGACCTGATAGAGTATAAGGAAGGATATGCAATGTAAGGGTAAAAATCCAACGTATCATTTGAACTGTGGTAAGAATAACTCGGATTTTAGGCTAAAGGCTAATTTGACATAAGAATGAAACACCATTTCTCGGCTAGCGGAAAGACAATCAGGCTGGCATGGGTTGCTCCGTGATGTTTATACTTTCCCGCTAACTTTCACTCGATTGGCTTTTATCCTCCCGGAATGACGAACTCTCGCTTCCCGTTGATTTTCCAGCCAGGAAGCCTGTCTTTACCAAGCATATCTAGTGTCTTCTTCTCGACCAGACTGTATTTGGAGGGATCGTTCCGGTCAAACTTGAACGGCTGCTTCAAGGCTACTGGTGGGTTGGTGATAACGCGTGGGTGTCTCAAGCTGTTGACAGAAATCGAGTGACACATCAAAGGATGGAGAAGAATCACATCGCCCACTTTACCAGTCATCTGGTGGAAATCGCTGCAATTCATAACGATATCCGAGTAAAAGGGCGTATCTGCGGGGTCCCCAACAGGCTCTTGGCCACGGGGGTACATATACGGTGTCACGCCCTCAGGATGCTTGTACTAGAAACCCGAGTCAGAAATATTTAAAAGTGGAACAGGAGGCTTAGGTACATACCAGATGCTCGGCAACATGTTTCATCGCCTCAGGGGCGATCATAGTGCCACCTGCACGATCCTGGATATCTGTAAATAGTGGTATAACGAGCAAGGCCTGTTCAGGCGAATCAAGAAAATGCGTAAAGAAGTCGCCATCGACATGCCATCCCGGCAGATCAGCAGGATGGGGCCATGTACCCTCGGATTCGGGAGAGCCGAGATTGACGATCAAGGCATCGTCCCAAGTGGCTGATTCAGGGGCTACACGGTCTTCGCTGCCGAGAAGCTCACAGATGGCCGCCCATGCCTTGGGAGCGAAGGTCCTGACCGGCTCTTCCTTGGTGCCTTCCATGTGGGTAATTTCGGTTGTCCAAGTCGAATTATCCATTGGTGACATACCGAGTCTAGTCCACACATTGCCTGCCCATTCGGTTGCTTTCTCTCGCGAGAAACAGTCCGGTAGACGCACGTACCCATATCTCATGAAGTGATCGATTTGCTCTTGTGAGAGCTTGTATTTGGGTTTAGCTGCCATTGTGTCTGGGCCCTCCGAAGTGGGGCTACAGCATGAGCCCATAATTTAAGAATGAGGGACATGGTTTCGTGCAATAGTGGCAGTTTGGCAGTTACCTACTTGAGGAAGGTGCTTGCTGTTATGTGATTGGCTCCATTATTCTGCCGATCACTCGGACCGGACCAGTGATAATCCGTCCCTTCCTGCCACGACTGGCTGAAAAAGGAAGCGGTGAACTCGGGTTCTCCTATTATTTGATATTCGTATTCCTCTTCTTCAATGATGTCTGCTTGGGGAGCTGAACAAGATTTATTGTGCCATTATTCGCGTAATAAATGACGTTGCCAAGATATGAATTCCGGCTAAACAGTCAAGCCTAGTACTAGTGCATGACCCCGCAAA